TAGGGAATAAACCATGTGGCTATCTGAGGGAAGAATGCTCCAAGGAGAGGGCAAAAGTTCTGTGGTTAAATGTGCTCAGTGTTTTCGCCAAACAGGAGGCCATGTGACTGGAGCAGACTGACAGGGAAAGGAAGAGAGAACGGGAATATATGAGGACAGAAGTAAGGAGAGTCCAGATCATATAGAAACTAGTAGGCAATTGTGAGGAGTTTTACTTTTACTGAAAATGGTGTGGGAAGATATTTGAGCATTTTGAGTAGAGGATGACATGATCTGACTTACATAATGGTGATTTTGGTCTAGCATGGTAGAAGAGAAGTAGTCTATCCTAATTCTAAATATATTTTGAATCAATAATGGATTACAGTAAATTTGGAAAGTGTACAGTTAGAGAATGGTCTCTGGAGGAAGAAGATGAGAAGAGTATATGCCTTGGGTTGTCCTATACCACATAGCCTCCAGGTAAAGGGGAAGTTAGTTTGGTCTACAGCAATGGTTCCCAATTGGTAGCCCACCAGCTAAATCTCTTATTAATAGTTTTGTTTGATCACAGTGTTTTAAACTTTTAAAAATTAGTTGTCAACACTTAAAATTTCAGAAATAGATTCCAGGCCTCTCTTAAAAACTGAAAAAATTGGCAACATTGAGTCCTTATCCCCAAAGGGCAAAAGTTGACAGGAGCTAAGTTTAATTATTAGATGTCTCCTTTTGCCTGAGCATGTACATATTCTCCAGTTTTCCAGTCTCTGCTCTTTACTTTCCCCAAAAAAAGTTTTAGACAAAGCGTTATTGCACATGCTCTGCTGTTTTCTTATAGAAAAGTCAAGAGGAGCTCTGGCCAGTGTGGCTTAGTTAGTTGGGTGTTGTACTGTGCAATGAGAGGTTTCTGGTTCAATTCCCTGTCAGGGTATATGCCCAGGGTACAGGCTCGATCCCCAGTAGAGGGCGTGAAGGAGGCAGCCGGTTTTCTCCTCTCTTCCTCTCTTTCTAAATATCAATAAACTATTCTTTAAAAGAAAGGAAAGTTAACTATTTCTTGTTGCTATCAAAATTTTTCTTTTATATGGTCCACTTCACTCATTTATGTTACCTGCCTCAATCCTGTTGAATTTTGAGTTTGCAACTCCCAGTTTAGAGGAAAGAAGCATAGACCCTGAGTCCTGGTGCCTGTTCTGTCTCATTCTTCATGTGACCTAGAGCACAAAAAATGGCCTCTTTGGATCTCTTTAGAATTAGGAGACTAAATTGGATGTTCTTTGAAAAATTCTAACATCTTAGAGGGCTTGGGATCTTGCAGTAGGCCAGTACTTTGTTCTCTCCCCCTCCCAAACAGCCAGGGGGCACAGCCCAGTATGTATGTCAGAGAAACAAGACACTGGAAGGAGTAAGGTGCCTATATCAATAATGTATAACTTGAGCCCAGAGCCAGGGAGAGGAATGTACAGTGTGTGTGTATGTGTGTGTGTGTGTGGTGTGTGTGTAACTAGAAGTGTGCTCAAATAAGCTGTTCTTGTATAGATTTGTGCTTATCTGTTTCTGTGTACTTTCTATGTACCAGGCTCTATTTTAGGTGCTAAAGGTGTAGCAAAGAACAAGGTAGACAAAGTCTCTGTTGTCATTGAGTTTATATTCCAGTGTATTCCTATGTATGTAAATGGACAGCTTTTATGCCTATAATATGTGATATTATGCATGTTAGTATACACAGGTGAGCTGGTATGTGGTATGCATGTGGAAACATATGTGCATGGATAATGTGGTATATGTCTGCATTTAGCTGTAAATGGAGATGTTCTGAAGTTCCTATGGCACTCGTCAGTGGGCCAGTTAAGGAAATGGCTTTTTTGCCTCTGGCATTCAGGGCCATTTGCCAGCTTCCTGTCTCCCTATTCCTTCCCATGTTAGAAAGCTTTTTCTACTTGGCTCCTCTCAGCCCTAGGGGGGCTAAGCCAAGGAAAGGATAGTAACTGACTCATCAATTCAGGAGGTGGAAAGAGGTTGATAATCTTCTGTGTAACCTCCAAAGGCCTGGCTTCTCTGCTAGCCCCTGTCCTTCACACTGTGAAGGGAAAGAGTCTGGACTTGAAATCAGAAGACCTGAGGGTCAATTCTTGGCTCTGCCACTTATTATTGTGTGACCTTGGCCAAGCTATTACATCTCTCTGGGTTTCAGTTACCTTCTTCATAAGTACTCTGGGTAGTGTAGTATTTAGGGAGGGCTATGTGGTGCTGGTGCCTGAAGGAGGAGGGAAGGCATTCTGAGCTGGGGCAATGGCATGATCAAAAGTGTGGAGGTGGGTCTTTGTGTGTAAGGGAAGCCAGGAGAAACCCACTTAGAATAACAAACTTCTTACCGTTGCCTACAAGGCCCTATGTGATCTGACTGCTGTCTACCTCTCATTCTTACCCTCCTTCTTGTTCACTATGCTTCAGCTACACTGGTGTCCTTTCTGTTCTTTGAATAGGCCAAACTCTTTACCACCCTAGTTCCTTTCCAAATTTCAATATTCTCTCTGCTCAGGATACTCTTCCCAAGAATTTACATAGTTGCCTACTTCTCATTACTCAGGTCTTAGCTCAAATATCACCTCCCTGGGGAGAGGCCTTCCCTGACCATCTTAGTTAGAGTATTGTCCTCTAATGCTTATCAATATTTAAAATGCACATATCCTTTGATCCAACAATTTTACTTCTAGTAATTCACCCTACAGATATATTTGCAAGTGAATAAAATGACATATGAATAAAAACATTCATTGAAGTAGAACATTATACAGATGACAAAGAAAATGGAACAGCACAATAAGTCTTGATGGAGAATGATATCAATTTATATTGCTAATTTAAAAAAATTGTTTTTCTTTATTAATTTTAGAGAAAGGAAGGGAGAGAAAGAGAGAGAGAGAGAGAAACATCGATGAGAGAGAGAATATCAATTAGCCGCCTCCTGCATGCCCCACACTGGGGATTTGGCCCATAACCTGGACATGTGCCCTGACTGGGCATCAGACCAGCAACCTCTTGGTGCATGGGTCAACACTCAACCACTGAACCACACTGGCCAGGCGTATTGCTAATTTTTTAAAAAGCAAGATGTTTGAGCTCTATACTTAAGATTTGGGCAGTTTATTGTATGTATATTATACTCAATAAAAAATAAGATACAGAATAGTGTGTACTGTCTGTCATCATTGTATAGAAAACAGTGAGATAGGCCAGTCCTGTGGTTATAGCAGCTCTTTCCAATTTTACCCACCCTATGCTTGGTTGAGGTCTATGAGGTGCTTATTTTTCTTTTGAACAGCATTAAAATTTGATTTTTTAAATTCAGTTTTTAAATTTCCACCTTCAGGGATATCCTAAGGACCTCATGAAAGATGCTAAAAGTATAACCTTTTTTCAAAGTGATTATCTTGGTCACTCCTCATTAATTCAGTTTCCCTATCTACATCTTTCCATTCTACATGCCTTGTCTGCATATTGACTATTTCTGGAAAGTTATACAATATAGAATAACAGTGGTTGTTAGTAGGCAGGGTGATTGGGGGAGGTACTTCTCATCACATATCTTTTTATTCAAAAAATAAAATTGAAAAAGAAAAACCACTGAAGGGGAATATTCTTTTTATTTTTATTTTTTTAAATCCTTATCCGAGGATGTTTTTGCATTTATCTTCAGACAGAGCGGGAGGGAGAAAGGGAGGAAGAGAGAGAGAGAAACATCGATATGAGAGAGACACATCGAGTGGTTGCCACCTACACGACTCCAACCGGGGCTGGGGACAAACCGCAACTGAGGTACGTGCCCTTAGCAGGAACCAAAACAGGGTCTCTCCGGACCATGGGCCAATGCTCTAACCGCTGAGCAAAACTGGCCAGGGCAGAGGGGGAATATTCTTATAGCTAAATCTTCATATAATCATGAAAGTTCCTTAAGATGTCTTTCTTTTTTTTTTTTTTTATCCTCACCCGAGGATATTTTTCCATTTTTTGTACAGATAGAGTGGGAGGGAGAGAGAGAAAGGGAGAGAGAGAGAGAAACAGCGACGTGAAGAGACACATCGAGTGGCTGCCACCCGCATGACCAACTAGGGCCGGGGACAAACTTGCAACCGAAGTACACGCCCTTAGCGGGAACCGAACCCGGGTCTCTCCGGACCGCAGGCCGACGCTCTAACCACTGAGCCAAACTGGCCAGGGCGTTAAGATGTCTTTTTAATAAGTGTTTCTCCTTAAGTAATGCTTACCATAATCTGTAATTATCTTGGTTGTATTTGTTACTTGTGTATTTCTTACACTCTCATTGGAATATAAGCTCCATGTTGTCAGGGATCTTGCTTATCTTGTTCATCAGTACCTTATTTCTATACATGTATATTAGTACATAGTAGTTGTTGAACAAGCAAATGAACAAATGAAGGAATGATAAAAGAAAACCAGACTGAAGCCTAAGGAGGACTGGGAAACAAGACTGAGGAGGACAGAAATCAGCTGATAGAGGCTGGTGATTTTCAAACTTTAAATTTATATTAGAATCACCTAGTGATTTTTTTATACCAGTTTATAATAAAGAAGTAGATTCTTGGACCCTGTGATTCTGATTCAGAAGGTCTGAGTAAGGGCTCAGAAATCTACATTTTAACACATTTCCCTAGGTGACTTGAGTGCAAGTGATCTGGAGATCCCACTTTATATTTGTGATGTAATTTCTCCTTAATACATCCCAAGGATAGAAGATAAAGGACCATCATCCTTTTTTATAAACCTAAATGAGGCTCAGAGATTAGTAATGCAGTTTTTAATGACACAGCTTGTGTGTAAAGTATTCTTTGAAAGGCCAAAGTATCTGACCAGTCAGTTCAATGTGTAGTGGTAGATGGTTCACCTTCACAGGACATTCCCAGTTCTTGGTGTTACTGAATGGATTTTATAACTTCCTATTTTTTGTTTGGGGAAGAGATTATACTCCCTAATGTCTAGTTCTTTCTGATGTATCTCAGGGAGGGCAATGAGCCAGAGGAGACCACCCAGATCACATACCAGGAACTTCTGGTCCAAGTGTGTCAGTTCAGCAATGTTCTCAGAAAACAAGGTGAGTGGGGAGATAGAGGGAAGGGACTGGAGGGAGTGGCCTTCGGTTATCTGAGGATGTAGGGGAAGTAGATAAGGGGTAGAAGAAATCTGGTAAAGGGAATAGAGAGGTCAGCTGGGTGGGGTAGAGTGGTAATGGTAGCTGGATGAGAGTAAGTGAGTAACAGTAGGAAGGATTCATAGACCATGGTCTGTGTCCTTTATCTGCAGGCATTCGGAAGGGCGACCGAGTTGCCATCTACATGCCCATGATACCGAAGCTTGTGGTAGCAATGCTGGCATGTGCTCGTCTTGGGGCTCTGCACTCCATTGTGGTAGGAATTTGGGCTGGAAAGGGGGCCAGGTGAGGGATGGAGCTCTGGAGAAGTTGGTTGGGACTGGATGATGGAGGGTCTTAAGTACCAGACTAAGGAGTTTAAAATATTTTTATTATAGGTTCCATATAAGTTATCCAGTTTCATCTAAGACCCTGACTCAGTGACCCTAAAGGTTTTATGAGTGACTCTTAATCTCTAGGTCCCCCTCTCTCTGTTTTTCTTCCCTTCCCTAGTTTGCAGGCTTCTCTGCAGAGTCTCTATGTGAACGGATCCTGGATTCCAGTTGCAGCCTTCTCGTCACTGCAGGTGACTAATTCTCTCACCCCTTCTCCAGAACCGATACACCCCAAGTCTTTGTTCTAATTAGTTAGTTGGAGTTTGGGTAGAGGGTAGGGAATGCCAATTGTTTAGTTCCTGTTTCTACCTCAGCCAATCCTTTGTCAGCTCAAATCAGCTGGAAGAGCCCGAGTTAAGAGGCCCCCTCAGGAAGAATCCTGTGAACATTGTGCTCACTAGGGATAAGGGGAGAGGAGTGTGGTACCTTTCTAAGACCTGGAATGTCTATTGCTCCCCAAAGATGCCTTCTACAGGGGGGAAAAGCTTGTGAACCTGAAGGAACTGGCTGATGAGGCCCTGGAGAAGTGTCGGGAGAAGTAAGTGTGTTTGGCCAGTTGGCTACTACTCTGGGTCAACTGGGTCTTTTCCCGGTGCCATGTTCCCTTTGTCTCTTCCACCCTAGGTGGACATGGGTGAGTCCTACCAAATCTCTTTTGAGCCTACCATCCCACTATTTCAGGTTTTTCTTTCCTCCAGGGGTTTCCCAGTGAGATGCTGCATTGTGGTCAAGCACCTGAGGAGGTCAGAGTTGGGCACAGGTGACTCTTCCAGCCAGTCCCCTCCGGTTAAGAGGTCATGTCCAGATGTGCAGGTGAGTCTGGCACTTCTGTACCCTTCCCTGGGCTCAAATTGGGTCCCCTTTCCTGTTCAGTAAGTTCCTGATGTCCTTCTTTGCTTCCTCATTATAATGCTGGGATCTGAGGAGACATCCTAGGAATGCTTCCTCTGACAGGGCTGGCTGGGAGCTGGGGACTTTGAACTTGCAGCCTGGGACCTTAGCATGAGATATCATGAGGGAGATCCCATGCTGGTTGGAATATCCTGATGGGCATGAGGGACCCTCAGGGCTTGAACTTGGGTTAGAAATAGGCTAACCTGGGTGACTAGATAATAGTCATCTTGATTACTGGGCTGTGGCTTGCGGTAGGGTCCCACCATGGAAGGACCAAGATCTGGCCCTCAAGATAAGGCCCTTGTTAGAAAGGAGGCAGCCAGAGGTTTGGAGCATACTACCCTTCCCTCCCACTTCCCTATACTTGGACCCTGCTCACTACCTTTCCGTGGGCTCTTAACAGGGTAAGCCAAAAGAGAAACCCAAGCGCATCTGGCCCCAGGTATCCACCTCTGCACTGTCTTGGGCACTGCTTTCCTGCGTTCTTATCTGTGTGTCCATTACTCTTTGTCTGCTTGCCCCCTTGAGGTGGTTGCCAGACCTAATCCCTTTCTCTCTGCCCTTGGGTCCTTTGCCATTTAAGTCACTTTGAAGGGTTGTAAAACCAAATGCCTGTTGCTACTTCTCTGAAGTGGCATACAGCATGGATCTCAGGAAAGTAACAACAGACAACTCATTTTTCTTCAGCTGCTCAGGGCCTTTGTGGGAGAGAGGACCAAGTAAAGTGTCAGAAAGTTTATGCTGTGCACTTAGCTGGGGCAGAGCCAGGAGAGACAGGAGAGAAGCAGGTTGAGGAGGTTAAAACCTTAACGTTGGGAATTCACCATCAAGTTGGGGAGTTAGATATGTATTAAAAATGAAAACCTAAGTTTTATATAAGACAGCAGAGAAGAAAATTCCTAAATATGTTTATATACTACTTTGGGATTTACAAACTGCACATACACTCTGATATAATTAAGTACTAAATTGAATAAAAATTACATTGTAATTTCCCTAAAAAGGGAAATCCCTAAATGGGGACTCAGTGCAGATTAATATAGAGGAGAGACTGATTTTGGAGTCCAGAGACCAATTTTTAGCTTATGACTTTGAATAAGTTGCCTCTGCTCTCTGGGCTTTAATTCCCTTATCAGTAATGGAGAGATGATAGTATATGCTTTAAAGGAAACCATTTTCCTTACTAAAGCAAAGCTGAAAACCCACAATTCCTCTGAATTTTACCATTCTCATAGGGTGTCTTACTCTAAATTTTCTATGATTATAACCTCTTAGGCTAATGGTAAATATAATCCCCCTTTTCTCTATTTTCATTAGCATGGTAGAGACATTTGATTCCTCAGGACACTGTTTCCTTTTAAAACTCAGGTAGGGACCTAAGACTTTTTCTCTTGAAGGAAGTAACAAACTGGGTGATTAGAGTATAGGCTCTGGAGCCAGACTACTTAGGTTCAAATCCTGACTCTATCACCTGCTACTATGGGAGCTTGGGCAAGGTACATAAGCTCTCTTGCCTCAGTTTTCCCATCTATAAAATAAGGATAATAGTTGTACCTACCTGATGGAGTTTTGTCAATAAATGCAAGGTATTCAGCACGTAGTAACTACTCCATAAATGTCTGCTTTTATTGCATTTAACATAGATAGACTGGCATTTCTAAGAGGGAAACCAGAAAAGAAATAAACTCTTATAATTCTTTAATACCAGAGACCTTCAGGCTACAGACTTGGATTTTTGTTTCTTGGAGGTGAAAACAACCAGTCACCAAAAAACCAAAGACCATAAAAATGGGCTTACATAGTCCAGATTTATTGGCCTGAGAATTGCAGTCAAAGCTGCAGAATTCTTGGCAGAGCTCCAAAATTCTTGGCAGCGCTCCAAAGCCCTTAATTCTTAAGCAGTCTTCAAAGAAGGGCCTGTATAATTTGTATGTGCCCTCCTCAACTATGTCACCTCTGAGCTTCCTCATGTTTCTCTCACACCTGGCAGCTTCCCTCCCTGAGGCTATCCTGGTCCAAGGACAAAGGCCAACTAACTCTTCAATTTGTATTTCAGAAAATTCAAGCCTTTTCCTGGTTCAAAGCTCTGGGCCCCTTATAGGCAAACACCTAAAACACCAATGTTTGCAGCACTAATTGAACTTACCCTACCTCCTTGTGCTGGTTATCAGCTCCACACCTGAAACATATCTCCTCCATCTTCTTACATATCCACAATAGGAATCATTTTATAAGATTATTAGAGTCCTTTTATTGCCACAGTGTAACTTGCCCTTAACATGTACCTAGTGCCTTTTATCTGACAATTCACACTAGTATTGTAGATCAGCACCATTTTCCCAAAGCAATATTGACACACTTCTGCTTAAATACATAATGATCTCATCTAAGGTAGACTGTTTGCAAGAAAAAAAAGTGTTCATGTGACAAGGTATGTGTAGATCCATATGGCTATTCCATTAAAAAATAAGGTGTGGGGACTTCCGGTCAAGATAGCAGTATAGGTAAACGTGATACTTGCCTCCCCCAACAACCTCATCAAAATTACAACTAAACTAGACAACAACCATCATTCAGAACCTCCTGAAATCGAGCTTAGTGGAAGTCTTACAACTATGAAATTAAAGAAATCACATCAAGACTGGTAGGAGGGGCAGAGGTGAGGAAGGGCTGGTCCCACACCCATGTGGGATGGATAAAAATCAGGAGAGATACCTTGGCTGTAAAGGTCCTCCCTGAGGAGCAAGGAGTCCTCTCACACCAGATACCCTAGTTCAGAGTTTCAGTGCCAGGAAGAGAAGTCCTCATAACTTCTGGCTGTAAGAACCAGCAGGAAATGAGGCTGAGAGTGATAGAGGCTGAGGCTTCTGGAGTCCCAGGCATTTCCTCTTAAAGAGCCCACACATAGACTTACTGGAATTTGCTCCCTCTAGACTCCAGCATGGGGGAGGCAGCTTGAAAGGCACCAGAGATATACAGAGAAAAGAGGAAGAACTGTGTTGTTTGCCAGCAGGATGAGAGCTGGAGGGGCAGCTTTCTCTTGGACAGTCTGTGGGAGGCAATTGTTCCTTTGATGAGCCCTTCCCCCACAGAGCCTGCAGACAGGATCCATATCTAGTACTCCAGCAATCTGATTTATACTGTTTGCCCCACTCTGGTGATTCCCTGAGGCCCTGCCCCACCCAACTTTCCAGGCCCACCCAATCTATTTCCAATGGCTTTACCATAGGAATGGCCTGTCTTGGCTCGTGCTTCAGATTTTCCTAAAAGCTCTCAAACAGCAGCATCTGGCCTCAGGGATCCCCATAACTCTCACTAAGTGGCCCTAGGCCCCGCACTAGAAGCAGCTGGTCTTGGTTCACAGCTTGGCCTTTCCTGGGCACCTTCAAGTCCAACACAAGAAGCACCATCTGCAGATTGCTTTGTAGCTTATGCCTGGTGGCCCTGGGTAGAACACAGGCAGTGGCTGACCTTGGCCTGCATCTCCTGGGAGGCCCCAGAGCCAGTATACACAGTGGACAGCTTCAGACCATGACCCAATTACCTCCACAAGGAACACACTCTAAAGGTGGGCTCAGTAGGTACCAGAGCCCTGCTGAAGGAAGTCTTGCTCTGTGTGGTAGGCCCCTGCATTGCTGATCTTCCAAGGTGGTCAGTGGTAAGTGGGCACAGCCAGTCCTTGCAGCTGATCAGCCCGAATAAATCCTCCCACTGAAGTGCCAACAGCAGTCAAGACTCAATTACAACTGAAGGATGTACAGTCCACATGGGGGGTGCACCTTGAGTGCCCAGCTGGGGTGATCAGGAAGGCTGTGCCATTGGACCCTACAGGACACCCACTACAATAGGCCACTTTACGAAGTCTAGGAGATGTAGCAACTCTACTTAATACATAAAAATAAACACAGGGAGGAAGCCAAAACAAGGAGACAAAGAAACATGTCCCAAATGAAAGAACAAAACAGAACTCCAGGAAAAGAACTAAATGAAAGGGAGATAAACAATCTAACAGATGCAGAGTTCAAAACACTGGTTATAAGGATGATCAAGGAACTTAGTAAGGACTTCAAGAGCATAATAAAGGACCAGTCAGAAATGAAGGAAGCACTAACTTAAATGCATAATTTACAGGGTATCAATAATAGAGTAAGTGAAGCTGAAAATCAAACCATCGATTTGGAATATAAGGAAGCAAAAAACATCCAATCAGAACAGCAAAAAGGAAAGAGAATCCCCCCCAAAACAAGGATAGTGTAAGGAGCTTCTGGGACAAATTCAAATGTACCAACATTTGCATCATGGGGGTGCCAGAAGGAGAAGAGAGAGAGCAAGAAATTGAAAACTTATTTGAAAAATAATGACAGAAAACTTCCCTAACTTGGTGAAGGAAACAGACATACAAGTTCAGTAAGCAAAGAGAGTCCCAAACATGATAAACCCAAAGAGGTCCACACCAAGACACATCATCATCAAAATGCAAAAAGTTCAAGACAGAGAGAATTTTTTTTTTTTTTAGTTAATCCTCACCTGAGGATATTTTTCCATTGACTTTTTTAGATAGAGTGGAAGGGAGGGAGGGAGAGAGAGAGAAAGAAACATTGATGTGAGAGAGATATATCGACTGGTTGCCTCTCAAATGACCCTGATCCAGGATGGGGATCAAAACTGCAACCCAGGTATGTGCCCTTGACTGGGATTCAAACCTGCAACCATTTGCTCTGCAGGCCAACACTCTAAAGACTGAGCCAAACCAGTTAGGACTACTATCTTTATTTAATTAATTAATTTATTTTATATATATTTATATATATATTTTTTCTTTTATTGCTTTTAGAGAGAGAGGAAGGGAAAGGGGGAGAGAGCTAGAAACATCAATGTGAGAGAAACAATGATCAGCTGCCTCCTGCATGCACCCTACTGTAGATTGAGCCCACAACCTGGGCATGTGCCCTGCCCAGGAATCGAACCAGTGACCTCTTAGTGCATGGGTTGACATTTAACCACTGACCCACACTATCCATTGGGCAGCTATCCTTATTTTAAAAAGGAGTGACAAGCCCGGCCATTGTGGCTCAGTGGATTGAGCGTGGTCCCATAGACTGAGAGGTCCTAGTTCAAATCCCAGTCAGGGCATATGCCTGAGTTTCAGGCTTGATCCCCAGTGGGGGATGTGCAGGAGGCAGCCAATCGCTGTTTCTCTCTCACAACAATGTTCTTCTCTCTTCCTTTCTCTCTAAAAAATCAATAAAAAACATATTTTTAAAAAATTGTAAAAATAAATAAAAAGGAGTGACAAGATAAAGTGACTTGCCCAAGGTCATATATAACTAGGAGGCAGCGGAACTGGAATTGAAATCCAATGCAACTTTTGGACAATTTCAGGAAATCCAAGTTCACTCAGCAAAGAACAGACTCAGAAAACAGTTGTTCAAAGAAGTGATATAATCAGGGAAGTAAAACAGTTTCAAGCAGAGTTTAGAAAAATTTAAGGATGACAGATCCACAAATATTTATCAAAGGCACTCCAGTATAGAAGGATATCCCTCCACTGGGAGTTTACCTTGGTCCTTCTCCAACAACTTAAAGCAAGGCTTCCTGATGAATGGAACCTCAAACAAATGTCTTTATGGGAAACATTGGTAGCAGTGATGGAAAGGCAGGGGCAGAACAAGGGTAGAAACCTCCAGATGGAGAATGAGGTCTAGACGTGCAGGAAAAGGCACTTGGACCAAGATCTGTTGACTTCTTTCACTACGGACATGGCCAGATGCCTGCCTCCACCTGCAGGCTCTGACTAATTTTGCATTTCTGAATTGTATGGTGTTTGCATCCCTGCCAATGAGCCACTAGTCCCATAAGTACATATGTGTATGTAAGCCTGTGTGTGATATTCATTCATCCAACAAAAATTTATTGAGTGCCAGGCATTTTGATAGGCATTGGGGATATAGGGGGAAAGACAGACATGTCACTGCACTCATAGAGATCACTATGTAGTTGGGGAGACAGTAATCAAGGAAACAACTAAGTAAAATAACTGGAAATATATGCTGTGTGGGAAAGAAGTATGGTGCTGTGATCAAGAATACTATTAGGGGTGATGATAGGGGTAGGAATCTACCAGATACTGTTCAGGATAAGCCTTTCCAAGGTGACATTTAAACTAAGAATTGAAGGATGAGGTCAGGTGAGGGAGAACTCTAGAGCAGGGTTCTGCGAGTACCCAGGAAGCCTCCTCTTCTGCTTCTGTTCCCTGCTCTATTCCAGGAGCCCTTCCTCCCTCAGAGCACCCTTACCTGCCAGTCCCACCCTGGCCCCTCCAGGTGCCAGGTATCTCCTGCCCCCATCTTGGGCTGTTCACAGGTCTTTCCTGTCTTCCTTCTGCTCCAGATCTCTTGGAATGAGGGGATTGACTTGTGGTGGCATGAACTCATACACGAGGCAGGGGATGAGTGTGAACCTGAGTGGTGTGATGCTGAGGACCCGCTCTTCATCCTGTACACCAGTGGCTCCACGGGCAAACCTAAGGTAAGCGATGTGTGCGTGCGTGTGTGTGTGTGTGTGTGTGTGCGCTGTGTAGGAGTGAGAAATGAGTTTCTGAGGAAGCATGTAATGACATGAATTTTACTCTACAATCCTGAGTTTCAGAAATGTCACATTACCTTTTCTAAATCAAAATAAGACACTAGATTGTGAGGCCCAGGGTGAGATAATTCAGGTAGGAGCTTTCATATTGCCCAGAAAAGAAAAGGATCCGCCAGTAGGCTTATATTGATATTTCTTGCCCATGCCTATATGGTTTGGTTGAAGGAGAGCTGCCCTGTCAACTCAAGATAAAGTGACTTGCATCCCTCTTGGGCTCCTAGACTACAGCTCTTAGAGTTCAGTTCCTTCAACATGCCACACTTTAACATTTAGTTCCTCCCAGGGCACAGTGGGAGCCAACAATACTTAAGAAAACTATGTTCCATTGACTTGAAAGATATGTCACTCTGCATTCCACCTACCTCATCCCTAAATTTTTTTCTCCACATGCTTTGGAATATCCCTCAATGGGCCTTTAGAAACACAATTTTGGGCTCTCTTTCCTAGGAATGGGATATTGGTGGCATAAGAGAAGATTGTCCCTTTTTGCACTCTCACTCTGTCAATGTGTTGACTGTGCACAAATGCACAACAGAGACACTATTAGCTGTGAATGTACTCATGGTGAGAGTGATGTGGGTGGCTCAGAAATATCATCTTAAGGTGTGATATGGGAACATGGAGAAAAGGGGATGGAAGAGAGATGGATGCTGTGAAAGTGGTGCTGGCAGGGCCAAAGTCCTTGAGGAGGATCTTCCTCTAGCTCTGCCCAGCCTACATTTGGTGGTCAGTAGGGGTGAGCCCAAGCCCCATCCTGAGGCCCTATTTCCCCCCCCCCCAGGGTGTGGTACACACAGTTGGAGGCTACATGCTCTATGTGGCCACAACCTTCAAGTACGTGTTTGACTTCCATGCAGAGGACGTGTTCTGGTGCACAGCAGACATTGGCTGGATCACTGGCCATTCCTATGTCACCTATGGACCAATGGCCAACGGTGCCACCAGTGTTTTGGTGAGAAGGGAACTGGGACCCATGGCTACCTTGCCTACTTAGGGGATAAACAAGATGATCCTGGGTGACTGCCTCCCATGGCCACTTGGTCTAGAGGAAGTAAGACTTACATAGTTCTTACTCAGTTCGGAGGGGATTATGAATTCTGAGTGGGAGTTCTCTTGGCTTGTCTGGTAAGGGAGTGAAAGCACGGGTTTGACAAACTGTCTGAGGGTATGGTAAGGGGATGGAGGAACTATTGGGAAAGACCAGAAATGACCAGCCTTCACTGGGGTTAGTTTGAGGGGATCCCCACATACCCGGATGTGAGCCGCATGTGGAGTATTGTGGACAAGTACAAGGTGACCAAGTTCTACACAGCACCTACAGCTATTCGCCTGCTTATGAAGTTTGGAGATAAACCTGTCACCAAGTGAGACCCCTTCCCAGTTGGTGCCCCATGGGTGTCCCTCAGAGTTGGGTACTAGCCTTTGTGCACTGTCTTTTCCATGCCACTGTTCCAGCTCTATGGCCTGGAATGGGAGGAGGGGGGATGGCAGAGGAGCCGGGAATGTCTTCCTGATTCTCAGTGGTACTCTGAGCCTTCCTGTCTTCCCACTCTCCTGCCCAAGGCATAGCCGGGCATCCTTACAGGTGTTAGGCACAGTAGGTGAGCCCATCAACCCCGAGGCCTGGCTATGGTACTACCAGGTTGTAGGTGCCCAACGCTGCCCCATTGTGGACACCTTCTGGCAGACAGAGACGGTAAGTAAGGGGTCCAGAAGGTTGGGGCTCAGGGATAATGTGGGAAGACTGACTCAAATCCCTGATCTCTGACTTCCACAGGGTGGCCATATGTTGACCCCCCTCCCCGGTGCAACACCTATGAAGCCTGGTTCTGCTGTGAGTAAGGCTTTTTTGACTGGTACTGGGCCAGACAGGGGTAGAGTCTTGGGGCATTTGGCCTAGGTAGAGGGTGGGGGACTGGACTGAGATGTGTGATGAATTTAGGGCTCTGCATCTCCTTGGGAGAGGTAGAGTTGAGTCAGAGTTCCTCATTTCTCTCCTTGGGTCCTGTCTCCTGTTTGCTTCTAGACCTTCCCATTCTTTGGTGTAGCTCCTGCAATCCTGAATGAGTCTGGGGAAGAGTTGGAAGGTGAAGCTGAAGGCTATCTGGTGAGGCCCTGGCCCTTGGGGTCTTTGAGGGGTTGTGGGGAAAGGGTCCACCAAGGGGTACTGTACTTTGCTTCAGAGTTTAGAACCTAATCTCTCCTGATAGTTGCTATGACTAAAGTTCCATGCTTGAGGGTTCATCCTTTGCAGACACCCTGAAGGAAATCATTCTGGATACTTTGCCTGCCTTTCTGCCTTTTGGCCCATAGGCTCTTAAGAGCTCTGCTCAAAGATTCCTGATGGTGCCTTTTTGGGTCTGGAAGACTTAGTTCCAACTCTTCCTTTGATAAGCATTCTAATGTGACCTCAGATGAGTTACCTAACCCCTCTGAACCTAAATGTTCTCATTTGTAAAAGAGGGTTATAATGGTACCTTTGTCTTCTGTGGTTGCTGGATTGATTAAATTAGATAATCCATGTAAAGAGTTTATTGTAGAACCTAACAGTCAGTGCTTGATAAATGTTAGCTGTTGTTGTTGTATTAGTACTTATATCATCAGCCCCCACTCTCCACCCCACTTCACTTTTATTAAAAACAAGTTAGTAACAAGGGCAGCACTTGAATCCAGGCCTTCTGTCTCTTAGCTATCATCTTATCCATCTGCTGCCACAGGATGTTATTGATTAGGGCAATAATTTACTCATATGTGGGTCCTACATTTTTATATGACTGTGTTCATTTGCATCAAACTGGACCTGCTTTTCTGAGGTATTACCCAAAAGGAGACTCAAATTTACTAAATGCTTATCATCAACGGAACATTTTGCTAGGTAGGAATCTTCTACCTACTATCAATTTAATCCTCAGATTATTTTCTCTAATTTATAGATGAGGATCCTGAAACTCAGATAGGTAAAGTTACTTAACTCCAGATCGCACAGCTATTAAGTGGCATAGTTGGGATTCCATGCCTGGATTGTCTATTTCCAAAGCCTGTACTTTGTCCTACTCCTCAAGAATGGCATTCAGGCCATTTCTCCTCAGATTTGGCAAAGCTTTGATTGTCTTTCAGTGAGACAGCATAACATATGACCGCTGTGCCTTCCTCATTTCCCAGGTGTTCAAGCAGCCCTGGCCAGGGATCATGCGCACAATCTATGGGAATCATGAACGCTTTGAGACCACCTACTTTAAGAAGTTCCCTGGGTACTATGTGACAGGAGATGGTGAGCCTTGGCTATTCCCTGCCCACACTTCCTATCAAGATGTACCTTCCCCTTCCATTTTCAGGAAGAGTTGGCTAAAGGTGAAGATACAGAGAGAGAGAGAAATGTGTCCTGTGTGTCAGTGTCTAATATTGAGGCAGAGCCTGTAAGAGCAGTAATGAGTATTGCAGGATGGGTCTCAGTGTGGTGCCATCTGAGATTTGATGTATGAGGAAAGAAGTTCTTGTTGTCATTGCCCCTATGCTGAAAGAGATGGGGCATATGGCAGTATTATAATGTCATGTGTGTCCTCATATCTAGAGGCTGTGTTTGCCCATGTGTCCATCCACCATTCTATTCAGCCACAAATATTTATTGAACACCTACTACATCTAGGCACTGATCTAAGCTCAGGGAATATTACCATGAATAAGGTAGGCAAGGTCTCTGCTCTTGTGGGGCTTACTTTGTATTGAAGGGATACAGACAATAAACCTAGCAAACAAGTAAATAAGCTTATCTTAGTGATTAAGTGCTATGAGGAAAAGTGCTCTAAGCGGAGTATTGGAATAAAGATTGTCTGTAGCCATGGATGGTGAGAGAAGTCTTCTTTGAAGTCACATATGACCACAGACCTGAAAGGTGAGAAGGAGCCAGACATGGGAAAATCTGGAGTAAGTACGCGTGTTCTGTGCAGATATGCTTGAAATATCTGAGGAACAGTAAAGCCTGTGTGGCTAGAGTGTAGGGAGCAAAGGGAAAAATGTATGAAATTGGAGAGGTAGATAATACAGGGCTTTGCTTTGTGGGCCGTGGTGAGAAGTTTGATTTTATCCAATGTACAGTAGGAGACTTTTAGGGGTTTTAAGCAGAGAAGTGATGAGGACTGATTTACTGTTTAGAAAATAACTTTGTCTAATTTATAGAGAATAGACTTTTGGCAGGCGTATTAGTTATCTGTTGTGGAACAAATCACCCCAAACTTGGCAGCTTAAAACAACAAATATTATATTATCTCATACAATTTCAGAGGATCAGCAACACGGAATAGCTTAGCTGGTGATTCTCATTCAGTCTCTCATGGGTTACAGTCAAGCTGTTGTTTGGGGCTACAGTCATATGAAGGTTTGACTGAGTCTGGAGGATCCACTTTCAAGCTCACTCATGTGGCTGTTGGCAGGAACCTCAGTTCCTTGCCACTGGGCCTCTCTATAGGGCTGCTCAGGACATGGAAGCTGAAATGATATCCCATCACTTCTGCCAAATTATATTGATCACACAGACTAACCCTAGTACAATGAGAAAGGACTACACAGGGATATGAATATCAGGAGGTGGAGATCAGTTTGGACATTTTGGAGCCTGGCCACCACATCACTATGTAGAAGCAGGAAGAGTAGAAGCAGGAAGACTTGCTAGGAAGCTAGTGCAGTGGGTGTGGTGGTTTGGTAATGTGGATCATGTATCCTACTGTGGGGTATTTATTATGTTGTGCATTTCTTCTCTTCCCAGGTTGCCGACGGGACCAGGATGGCTATTACTGGATCACTGGCAGGATTGATGACATGCTGAATGTATCTGGTAAGGGTCAAGGACCATTTTTATTTCTCATTATCCCTACTCTCTCAGCAACTCCCAGCTAAAGCCTTTTGAGCAAGGATGTCCTTTGGCCAAACCATGTTTGGAGTGAAGCACTCAGTTCTGGGCCCAGGTTTTGGGGGAAGAATGATAAACACTGCAGTATGCTAGAAGAGGGGATCTGGGATGGTGGGTCAACTGAGGCATGTCGTGTGAATGAATGAAGGGCCTTTCCCATTTGATCAGACCAGGTCTGCCCTGTAGGCACAGATGGAGCAGGGGCTGAGGTAGAGGCTGGGATCTCTCTCATGGCATCTCCTTTCCCTTGACAAGGACACCTGCTGAGCACGGCAGAGGTGGAGTCAGCACTTGTGGAACATCAGGCTATCGCAGAGGCAGCTGTGGTCAGCCACCCTCATCCTGTGAAGGGCGAATGCCTCTACTGCTTTGTCACCCTGTGCGATGGCTATACCTTCAGCCCAACTCTCATGGAGGAGCTCAAGAAGCAGAGTGAGGAGCCTCCCTGGGCAGGGACTGCAGGGTTTGTCTGGCACAGTTATTACAACAGGTTGTTGAGGAGGGGCTGGAGTAAGCTGCTCCCCAAACCACAAACAGATCCCATAGGGCTGATTGCCCTCTTTCCATTCAGTCTTCACTAGTCTCTCCACTAGGATAATAATGGCTGACATTTATAGAATTCTTTCTCTGTGCCACCACTGGGCCAAGTGCTTTAAATGCATATAGTCACTCCATAAACAGATCCCATTGTTACCCTCATTATAAATATGAAGAAATTGAGGCTCAGAGAAGTTATATCACTTGCCCAGGACCACACTGCTAGAAAAGTGGGATTTCAACTCTAGCAGGCTGCTTCTAATTTGAGTTCCATGAAGGTGGATTAAGATAATGAGATAGTAAAGAGACAATGTGCTAAAAAGACAGATAGGCAGTGAGCCTGAGAATGATTCTATGGGCAGGGCCTTGAAGAGGAAGTGGGGAACAAAGCCATCTTTACTGTGGTTTTGGGGATCCTGGCTAATGGTACTGATTTAATGATTTGTTACAGTTAGAGAAAAGATTGGCCCCATTGCCACACCGGATTACATCCAGAATGCACCTGGCTTGCCTAAAACCCGCTCAGGTATGTTCAGAGGCTCGAGTAGGGATTGGCTGAGGCCCAGTTGTGGTAGAGTGTGTGTGGGTGGAAGCCTTTGGCAGGGCTGGAGTGGGTCAGTGCAGTCATCAGGTAACCAGAAGCCTGTGGTTCCCCAGGGAAAATCATGAGACGGGTGCTTCGGAAGATTGCTCAGAATGACCATGACCTGGGGGACACATCTACTGTGGCTGACCCATCTGTCATCAACCAGCTTTTCAGCCACCGCTGCCCGACCATCCAGTGAACAAGATTGCCTTTTACCCAGGACCCCCCCCTGCTTGGCTTTCCAAAGTCTTGTCTACCCTCCCTGCCCCCATTCAGGAGTACCGAGGGCTAGCACTGACCCACACTGAGAACCAGCTTTAGCCCTGGGTGGAGGCAACTTCCTGTGATTGCCAGGCAGATGGGACAGGACCCAGGTCAGCCTCAGGCTACAGTGCTTGCAAAGAGCCCTTGGAACCCAGATAGGGACCTGAAGGTCATGTCCCCAACCCAAGTTGAGTGTTCAGAGGGCACATTAAGGCCTAAAGTGAAGAAGCAGGGAGGCAGCTCTAATCCTGTCAACTCAGGAAGCACCAGTACTAATCTTGGGCATGCACTTGCCCGCAGAAACACCTGTTTATGAGTCCTGGAACAGTTATTATTTTTTAAAACACTTCTTCTGCTCTGGGTCTTTTGTGCCAGATGGCAGTGGCCTGCCCATTTACTACTGGGGCTATGCAGGCAGGCTCAGTTTCCAGATGGTTTTCAGATCATTTGCTTCTTTGCAGGAGTAAATGTGTTTTGATCCTAGGGCCAGAAGAACTTGTCCTCTGTTCCCACCCTCATCTGAACACAGTTGTGCCTATGACAGACACTTTCAGATGAAACTCTTTTCTTGCCCTGGTTCTGCTCAAGCCCCGTGGTTGTTGAAATAAAGTCTGTGACCTCAAGAAGGTGGTGACTTGTTTTCTTAGGTATCTTATAGGTTGTATACTTGCTAGCTGCTCTGGTTTGCATGGGGATAAGGGGAGTGGCTTCCCCAGGAATACCCAGTATCCTCCTTCCAAAACTTTTGATTTGGACAAACTAGGCAAGGCTACACTCACAGGCACTTTGACAAGCTACTGAGCTAAGCGGGAAAGCAACTGAAGCCAGTTCACAACTGTGATGTTCCATCAGTTGCCCTCCTTCTAGCTCCTGCTAGGAACCCTCACTCCTCCATGATCCCTTGGGTGCATTATTAGTGACTAAAGATTGGAACTTCAGTGTCCTATTCGTAGTGTCTGGAGCTAGGAAGACTGATTAGAGCTAAGTCACTTCCCCTGCTCCAATCCACCTTAAGTGGGCTGACCCAGATTAAAGCTCTTCCTTCCCCTAATTGCACAAACCAAGGAATCACAGAATCAGAAATGTAGTTTTATTTAAGGCAGAGATGGGGAAAAGCTATGCCCATCCACCCCACCCTACCACCCCCAACCCCTATCCCTAAGTCCTATCCCAAGTCAGACACTTGGACTTGCTGAAAGGCTCAGGGGCTGACAGGAGGGTGGCAGGATTATGGACTCTTACCCCAGATCAGCTTCCTTTCAGTTGTACCCATACCCCGAGGATTTAGGGACTTCTAGGTCTCACCTAAGGGAAACAGCTTTTCTGGTCCTCAAATGGGAGGTACCTAGAATTCATCCATCTCTAGAATAGATCACACTACTCGGGCAGGGCATCCAGGCTGTAGTAGGCAATTCCCAAAAGGCTCAGACTCAATCTTCTCCAAAGGTAGGGGGAGAAAAGCACCTCTCAGGAGGACTAGGAGAGTAATGACAGGCACGAGGGATAGGTCTCTTGAGAGAAGTCTGAGCAGGCCTGACTGTGCCCTCAAACAGGGTATGGGTTGTCCAGAACTGCCACTCCTGCTGCCACACCACCATCTGCATGTTCAATGGCTTTGGTTCGAAGCAGATGTCCCACGTGCTTGTTCATCACAAATGTCTTTCCCTGCCTATAAAAACGGGAGCAGGAGACACACATTCTGTCACTTAGACTCAGCCTCTAAACCCAGGATCTTCCCAGGTTCCAGCTGAGTAGTACATAGGTGACTGACTACACCCAAGAAAGTGGTAGGATTTTCTAATCAGATTTGAGTTTGCATCCTAGCTTGGATATGACTATCTCTGTGTCTTTGAGCAAGTTACTAAACATCAGTTTCTTCCATTTTAAGTAGGGATGATACCTCTCACTTTGCAAGATGGTCATGAGGATTAAATAAAGCAGGAAAAGCACTTAGCATGATGTTAGGCTCACATTTCATGTTCTGTAGTTGTAAATCCCCTTCTCTACCTCTTTCTCAAGATGGCTGTGTTGGTGGGGAGGGGTTGGGAGAGGCAGGCAGAGATGCTGCAAGTGGTTAGAGGGGATGATTAGAGAGGGCAGGCTCTGGTGGGGAACATGGCAGGATCTGGTATTCCTACTTTGCCCTGACCTTGGAGTGAGCATTTGTAGGAAGAGATATGAGGAACCAGGAACTATTCCTTACAAATTCCCAAGTTTTCCTCTATTCCTGATTCTTTGGTGCTCAAATCCAAATCCAGAGCCACTCAAATTTTCAAAGCCACTGAGTATCCTCTAGCTGGCCCATCCCACCTTTCCCCAGAATCCCCAGTAGTCTGGGAACTGGACCTAAACTTTCTTCTTCCCTGGGGTCTCCTTCCAGTCTAGGATTATTTTCTCATCCATCTCGATACTACTTGAAATTTTCTTTATAGTTGTAAAATCACTTCTCATCTGGGCTTCAACTGATAGCTCTGTGAAGTGGGCAGGTCTTGGGTCCTTGGTTTCATTTACTAGATAAGGAAATATGGCTAAGGATGGGCAGAGCTGCTCCCTATCCAGTGTTTCCCTCCAGGTTTTCTTGGTTGGCCCTCTGGCAAGAAGGAGCCCTTCCTGATTGGCTCACCTGACATAGACCCCGAAGATGCCCAGCTCTGAGATGCACTGGACTACTCGGGCAGGGCATCCAGGCCGTAGTAGGCAATTCCCAAAAGGCTCAGGCTCAATCTTCTCCATGAGGATATAGGAGGCTCTCTCCTCGCTGTCTTTCAGCCGTTCCAAGGCCTGCACCATCTCCTCCCCGTATAGGTTGTTACCTGCAATTCCATTGGCCAGTTACCCTGGACCCTACTTTACCCTGTGCCCCCACTTCTGGGGCCAGGTAGGCAAGTCAGCAGCCTCAGCTCCTGACAGCAGCTCACTGAAACCAGAGCAGGCCTGGCTCCTGAGGAGGGAAGGTGACCTTAACAGAAGAGCCCTGACTCGCACGTGAACATACCTTCCACCACACCATCCTGCCCTGATTCTCCTCCTGCCTGTCTATGGCTTTTACTTCTCAGCCTCTCTGACTGGCTCCTGCCCCTCTTAAATGTTGGGAGTCCCAAGGAATTGGTCCTTCACCCTTGGTCTTTCTTCCATGTGCACACTTTTTCAAAGGAAGATCTCTCGCAAGGCTCCATTAATAACCTATAACTTGTTAACTCCCAAATCTTTAACTCAAGCTCCCTGCTCTAGACATCACATGGATCTCTCATGGTTCTCCAAAACAAACGTGTCCAACAGAATTTATCACTTCTGCCTGAACCTGCCCATCTTGGACCTTCCTACTCCCAATCAGGCAAAAGGCATCCCTGAGACACATTTAACTTCTTTATCTCCATCACTTCACCCACTCAGACACGTCTCTCCAGTCTGTAGTCCACACTGTCACAGCCCTAGCCCAGGCCTCTACATTGCTCTTCTGGACAATGATACCAGCCTCCTTTATGGTCTTGCTACTACTAATGTCTCCCTTCATTCCAAGACATGCTCTACCATGGCTGCAACATAGACCCTGAATCAATAGTGTGTTCCTTCCCTCCTTAAAACTCTAATGACTTCCCACTATCCTTAGGATAAAATCCAATTTCCTACATATATTCAACATCCTTTATTATCAGGTCCCAAACCATCTTTACCAGCTCAAATCCCTTGCTCCTCCCATTTCCACACTGTATTCCAGCCTCATCAATAACTCATTAATCTCCAAACATACCACACTTTCGTGGACCAGTGCTTTTGCTTAAGGTTGCTCCTTCTGTATGGTATGCTTTTCCCCATTTTCTACCTGGGAAACTCTTACTATCCCTTAAGACCAAGATCAAAAACCATTTCCTCTTGACTATAAGGCACCAATGATCTCTGTCTTCAAGAAATTCAAACTAGGCAGGAAGACATCCAAAATCCTGATATGTCCCCCTCCCACTTCCCCACAATCCACCCACGGACACCTCAGACTAAACTTGTCCAAACCCTCAGGTGCTGGTTAATCAGATTCCCCTGTACTCCACAGCACTTGATCACAGAGTCTCCTGAGACACTGGCCAAGGTAAGGGCCTGTGTAAGTCCCTCTTTTATCTCCCAGAGCCTAGGACTGTGTCCATAGCAAGTGCTGGTCAGCACTGGTGACAGACTGCTAATCCCTTTTACTGAGCAGCCCTGCAAAGGGTGATCCACCTACCTCCACCCTCTCTCTGGGGCTTTAACACAAACCGGCTAGGAGCAGCAAGGGCCTCAGCAATGGCCTGGTCCCCTTCTTCACCCTGTCAGGAGGTAAGGAAGCAGTCACCAGCAGTCTTAGGCCAAAGAGGCAGGAGCTGAGTTCCTGCTGGTTGTGCAGAGCAGCATCAGAGGAAGAGCTGCTGGGGGAGAGCTGTAGCCCCTTTAGACTTGATGCTACTATCTGGATGTGACCACCCCAACAGGACCCCTGCATCAGCAAGTACAAGAGAAAAGTTTTCTCTGGCAACAATTCAGGCGTCTACAGCAAAAGGCCTTGAAAACAGGTACAGATATTCCTTAACTCTTGCTGTCTGCCTCAGCTTCTTCCTCTGGTTACTATCCCCATCTCCACCTTTGCTGAAAGAGTTTACAGTGGGTCCCAGGCCCCCTCCCCAGGACTCTAGGGGTTCTCACAGAGCATCACTAACCCAAGTCTAGCCCAGGGCCAGCTCCAGCCTCCCCAAGACATTGGGCTCTGGGTCCCTGCCTCCTAAGAGGCCTGAGTTGGGAGAAACGGGCTGCCCACACACCATATCCAGTGAGTAAAGACCAGCAAAGGTAGCACGGAGGCGGGCCACAGCCTCAGGCTGGCCAGGGAGCAACACCTCCAGCACGCCCACTCTGCTCAGCTCCTGCTGCACCTTCTTAGTTCCGGCCAGCTGGGTGGCAATATCCGGGCACTTGACAGCACATGACCTCTCCAGCAGAAGGCGTGCTTCCCAGTTCTGCAAAGAGAAGACGAGGAATTCTACTTTTTTTCACATCAGCTGTTCATTGGGTTCCAGGTACTGTGCTTTCTATCCTCACATTCATTATCTCCCAGGGTCACTGCAACATTTTTGTGAGGCAGGTGTGGCTCCTCCCAATCTGTAGGATTCTTGCCATCAGGGAGCTCACAGTCTAGCTTAATGATACATGACTAATTACAAGGGAAAATGACAAAAAGTCTAAGGGTGCAGAAAAATTGATGAGGAGGTCTGAAAGAGATGGGACACTTGTTTCCCACTATACTCCAAATAAAATTCAAACTTTCCTTCTCAATCTTATTCTGTGCCAACCCTCTATCCCATTCCCACATTCTAGCCACACAGGCCTGCCAGTCCTCAAACACACACACACACATCATTCCCACCTAAGGGCCTTTGTAGTTGCTGCTTTTCCCACTGGCTGGAATTCTTTTTCAAAGGATGGTTGGATCCTTCTCATCCTTAAGTCTCACCTTAAAGTCATATTCTCAAATCACCCTATTTAATGTGTTTCTCCATAATTCTCTATCTTTTCACCCTGTTGTTTCCTTCAATTAGAAAAACAATTTTTTTCTATTTTTATTTACTTTCTGATGTTCATTTGCCTGACCAGACTGTGAGCTCCTTGAGGACCTGACCCTTGTTGTCTGTCTTTGTTTTCTGTTGTATCCCCAGTGTCTAACACAGTTCCTGGCATTTTGTACGTTCTCAATAAATATTTGTTATTGTTGTTTAATAAGGTGAACTCTGAGTGACAGGTAGAGTCAGATAGTTGAGACTCAATAGAGAAGAAGTACAGTAAGTCCTCACTTAACTTTGTTGATAGATTCTTAGAAACCATGGCTAAGCAAAACGATGTACAATGAAACCAATTTTACCATAGGCTAGTTGATATAAACAAGAGTTAAGTTCCTATGGCATAGGAACTGGTCACAAAAACATCACCAAGCTTCTAAATAAAGACCCAAACACTTCTAATATTAAACACTGAAATAAATGTGAGCTATACATACATTAAAGAAAGATGAATAAAAACAAGTAAGATAACGACTTCCAACCCACTTCCAATCCAGGGTTGTGGATAGAGGAGCCTATCCCAGCAGCTCAGGGCGCCAGGGAGGAACCAAGCCTGGACAGGACGCCATTCCATTGCAGGGTATACTCACACACACCTCCACACTCAGACTGGGACAATTTAGACACGCCAGTTCACCTAATGCACACATCTTTGGGATGTAGGAGGAAACCGGAGTACCAAAAAACCCATGCAGACATGGGGAGAAAGTGCAAACTCCACAGAGACTGTCCAGCTGCAATAAATCTATTTTCCTCATTAATGTCATAACAAAGTGACATTATTCAAGGACTTGCTGTACTCAGGTTAAGAGAATAATATGAGCAAAAGCCTATAGGGTGGGTAATCACAGGATGAAAGGTCCAGTGTGCTAGGAGTTTAGGGTGTGAGAGGCAGGGAAACAGCAGAAGGTCATGCCTCCCCGATCTAGTCCCCATTCTCAGGCATTGGGGGGACAGTCTGTCCTTGACTCCAGACCACATCAAACTGCCCACAGCAGGATCAAGGCTATGGTCTGAGGAACAATGCCCCTGCCTCCCTATCCAACCCCCACCCTTGCCTGTGTTGTCCTTCCTTTGATGTAGTCATCCACCCGTACTACCTTTAGCTGGTCTTTACCAATAACCCCAGGCACCTAACTATTAGGCTGGATCCAGGCAGAGTTACAGGTGCCTAGAACATCAGAAATAAACCCAGATAAGTACCATTATGTTAGAAGTAGGGAAAGCAAAACTCAGAGATGAGCAAGGGCTTGCCCAGGGTCAACTAGCAAGTCACTAAGCTTTACAGATTTATCTCCATGTTCTAAACCTGGTCTGAACTTCTCAGTTCCCTAAAAATGTCCTCCTTATGCACTGATTTCATTCCTTATTAGCTCAACTCCTCTCTTTTTAAAGTTTTATTTGGCTCCTTCCCCCAAACTTCCTGTCCTGGAACCTGGATCCATTTTCCAAATGGATAGTTTCTCTCTTCGGTAGTCAGTGAGTTCCCACCACTGCTAACCACTTTTTAGAGAAAAAGATCTTCTGTTGAGCAGCTCTCTATACAGCTGGATCTTAGGGAGAATCCTATATTCAATGAACAATAGATCTAGAAGGAGTTCCCCCAATTTTCTAGTGTAGTTCCCTCAGCTTACAGAAACTGAGCTTTAAAAGGATCAGGAACCTACCCATGGGCACAGAGGTAGAGCCAAAGGCTCATGACCCCTAGTGGTATTTCTTCCTTTACTTTCACCCAACTGAGAGCAAGACTTTCTAGCCTCTCCATGCTGTATATTTGGACAGGGGGAATGATATACTGGAAATGCCATTGGACTGAGAGTCACAAAGCCTGGGAACTCCCTGTGGGACCTTTGACAAGCCCTTGCATCTCTCCAAACCTTCATTTCTCCATTTGTATAATGGGAATAATTACATGCCTCACAGGGTGGTTTTAAGGATAAATAATTGATGTAGAAAGTAATTTTGAGCCCTGGCTGGTTTGGCTCAGTGGTTAGAGCGTCGGCCTGCGGTCCAGAGAGACCCAGGTTTGGTTCCCGCTAAGGGCATGTACCTCGGTTGCAGTTTGTCCCCGGCCCTGGTTGGTTGTGCAGGTGGCAGCCACTCGATGTGTCCCTTTCATGATGTTTCTCTCTCTCTGTTCCTCTGTCTCCCTCCCACTCTACCTGAACAAAAAAAAAGAAAGTAATTTTGAAACTACATAGTAGGGATAACAAGATAAGGTGATATCATTGCTGTCATTAACAAGAACGGGCAGGTGATAAAAACTTCCTGATGCAGATAAAAGAGTCATAAGAGTTGGCAGGAAGGAAATGGTCTGTGGTGCAGTGAAACTGGTTCGCATCATTTAGTGAGAGCTGACTATACCCACCTCTTCCCAGCTCTGTAATTAGAAATGTCGAATTGGGAAGCGTGAAATTGGCCATGATGGAGAGTATTTACACCATAGAAATCAGCAAATGCTACAAACTGGGACTTTCCCTCCAGAAAGATGATTGTTAAACATTACCAGCATATCCCCAGAAACAATGTGAATGGCTAAAGCACTGGATTCCCAAGGATTCAGATTCTAGAATACAGTATTTGTAGAAGGTGAGAGGTAGCAAAAAACTTACAGGATAGGAGGTTCTAGCAGCAAGTTCCCTGAAGAAGTACTGAATCCAGAGCTCAGGAAAAAACCTAGGTTGTTGTGACACCTGAGTTGGGTCTCTGAGGAGTGATAGTAGGTCCCAGGAGGCAAAGAATGGCTGACCAGAAAACACCAACCTGTAGATTGTACTGACTCGGCATGTAGCCATCCCGGAAGTAAACCACAGCAATTTCCTGGCCATCCCTAGAACACAGAATGGAGAAAATTGTTGTGTTAAATTATAACCGATGTGTTCAGTGGTTCAATCTATTTCAGGGTGCAGCAGAATGAGTTTGGCTACTTTGAAAGTCCACATGGGCAGCCTGGACAGGCTTTCACTGGAAACAGTGAGGAGATACCCATATCACCACTGCTTCTACTAAAAATATAGAGGTATCCAGTAAAGGATGCTTTAGAATATTCCAGATTTGAATATTCTAGGAAGGCCAGAGAGAAACAAGAGGGCAAACAGAATCAAATTAGGTAAATTTCTAAAAATTGGGCTCAAAATGACTGAGCAGCAAAATCATACTGCCATGCTTAGAAATGCACTTGTTGTTTAAAGAAGCTGAAAACAGGCTGAGATTTTTTTAAATGGTGCAAGTAATGGTAGAGAGATGCAAAATTATGAGTCTAGTTAAGACACCGATTGTCTTTTGAGCTTTTCCCTCTTTTCTTTGATTTATTTACTATTTTCTGGTTTCATCCTGGCTGAGTAGCTCAGTTAGATGGAGCAGCATTCTAATACACCAAGGTTGTTGGTTTGATCCCCAGTCAGAGCACATATAAGAGTCAATCAATGATGCATAAATAGGTGGAACAACAAATCTCTCCCTTTCTCTCTCTCTCTCCCTTCATCTCTGTCTAAAAATCAACCAATAAATAAAATTTTCTGATTTATCTTGAAAGTAAATTAATGATTTTGTTTTGTTGTGATAAAAGTATATTTTGAAAACAGTAAGTGGTATTGTGAAATTCCATGGAAGTCCTTAATTTTAAGAATCACAAAGTTCCAGGTCTAAATATGTACACTGCAAGCAATGCTATTCAAAAATGTGGTACTAGCCCTGACCAGTTTGACTCAGTGGTTAAAGCATCGGCCCATGGACCAGAGAGTCCAGGGTTTGGTACCCGCTAAGGGCAGGTACCTCAGTTGTAGTTTGTCCCTAGCCAGGCTGGGGTCGTGTGAGTGGTAGCCACTCGATGTGTCTCTCTCACATTGATGTTTCTCTCTCTATCTTCCTCCCTTTCTCCCTCCTGCTCTATCTGAAGATAAATGCAAAAGTGTCCTTGGGTGAGTATAACAACAACAACAAAAATGTGGTACTAAAGTTATCTGGTGGTGGCACCTAGAGGGAAGTACAGGGCTTGGCTTAGAGCACAAACCCAGGCCCCTTGAGATCTTGCCTAAGCTCAGAGAGCAGGTCCCAGATCAATCAAAGAATAAGTCAGCTATTCCTCTTCCTGCTCAGACCGGACTTGACTAGCCACCAAGAGCAACAAGAAAGGGCATATGAAAACCAAGGTTATTTTAGGAAGGCCCTTATCTAGAATGTCAGCAGCTCTTCAGAAGCAGAACTTGGTTGGCTAGCCTTCTCTAAAATTTTCTTGAGTGATGGGATATTTCAGAGTTCACTCCTATAACTCAGAGAGAAGGAAGCAAGCTATCACATCTTCCAGAAGAAAGGATAATTTGGGGTAACTGGGTGAAAGGAAGAGTTTCCAAAACCAGTCCTCTATTGGGATTCTTGGGGAATGCTCCCTGAACACTTACACAAACAGCTTTCGGTCTTGGTCCAAAGATCCCTTTTCAGAGACATCTTCAAACCTTCGCCGGATTACACGGATGTTCCTGGGAAAGACAGGCAAGAGTCATAGGAGTGTACGCTCTGTTCTGAGTGGTTCTCCCCAATCCTGGGGCCACATCTGGAGGTCTCCCCTCCTTTACATACCTGGCCAGTAGCTCATTTTCTATGGCACGCTGGTCAAATATGTTCCTTTCCTTCTCCTGAGCAACCAATAGCACCAGAGCTCTGGGGAAAGAGCACAGGTGGCCCACGGTGACTATAAAGCTCATCTTCCCTTCATTCCCTTCAGGAGAATAAGAACACAGCTTCCCTGAACCAGATATTCTCTCAACTCAGGACTGCCTCAGGCATAGACACCTGAAGCTACAACACATTATTTCCTAAAAACAGGAAACTTGAAAAAATAAAGATGTCTCCAAAGGCAGCTGAAATAGTGCAATGATGTCAACTTTCTATGCAAATTAAAATTCAGATTTAAAACCAGCTCAAAAACCCAAGAGGATTTTTTCTTAGAACTCAACATGATTCCAAAATCTTTCTGGAAAACAAACAGGTGAGAGTACTAAAGAATATTTTGCACAGAACAATACTGGGGGTTGGGGCTAATGACCCTATTACTAGATTGTAAAGCATATAATAAAAATGTTTGTTATTCTTGCATGAAACACTAGAATGAATAGCTCAATGGAATCCTATAGAACCCAATAGCACCAACTATAAAGAAGGCGTTATCTCCTGGGGCCTCCTAACATTTCTGTGATTTACACAGGGCCACTTTTTATTCCATAGTATTAAAGGGAGCACTGGGGCTCACCTGGCTCCTTACTCTCTGCTTATTTACATGTTTCTTCACAAGCAGGAGCTCAAGGACTCAGGGAAAAGTTAAAGCCAGAAAATTGCCTGTTCGGCTACCAACCAGGCTGCTTTCAGTTGTCAAAGGCAGGTCCAACCCCCCACACAAGACTCTCTTAGGACCAATGCTCAGCAGCATCAAACTCTGTTTTTGCTGTAGCTGTACTGCTCCGTATAAACCATTTTGCTCTGAGAGAGTCCCCAGGGCCAATGGCTTCTTGCTGAGACTCTTGGATGGCCAGTCTTTGGCTTAGAATCCCAAGTGTGGATTCCTGATCACCTATACTTGGCCTCTTGTCTATTTGTCTCTGCTTCACCCTACCTCAGCATAACCTCTTGGACTATACTCTGCCTGACTCCTTTCCATTTACCAAAATACAGGTCCTAGTGTGCAGCCTCTCCTGGCCTGCCTGAAATCTCGAGGTCCAACGTAACATTAAGCTGAGTCTTGGCTTTGAGTTGGGTATCTGAGAGACAAGCTAGAAATGGTGCTCCCCCCACAAGTCATCTTGCTCTGAGAGAGTCCTGAGGGCCAATGTCCTTGCTTGTCACTTTGCTGCTTGATCTGCTCTGCTCATGGATGGGAAGGTGGTACCTGGCCCAGGCTGGCCCACCTCTAAGAAGAGGCAGAGGAGGGAGGCTGAAGGTTAAAGTGGAACTATGTACCCTGGTTAATGAAGTCAGCCTGCTCCCTGCTAAATAATTGGAGCCAGACTCAGAAAACGTATGATCCTCCTCCTGCCTTCAGTTCTGAACTGTCCATCAGGAGGAGGACTAGAAAAGCTGTCAGCTAAAGAAAGCGAAGAGGCAATAACGTGCTGGCTGGGAGTGAGGACTCCTGAGTCCCAGTCCTGGCTCTGTCAGGGACCCACAGTGGTACCACTTGTCCTTGGGCAAGTCAATTTCTTTCCTTGAGCCCTGATTTCCCCATCTATAAAATAAAGGTGTTAAATAGACCATAGTTCCCAACCTTTTATACAAGAACCCCCCCCCCTTTCTTATCTCTACTCATTCCAATCAAAGATACTATATTTTGAAAGAGTTAGAATAAATGTCTAAATTAAAATAATAATTTTCATCCAGCTGGCATGGCTCAGTGGTTGAGCATCAACCTATGCACCAAGAGGTTGCTGGTTCAATTCCGGTCAGGGCACATGCCCAGGTTGTGGGCCTGATCCCCAGTGGGGAGCATGCAGGAGGTAACCAATCGATGTTCTCTCTCATCGATATTTCTTTCTCTCTCTCCCTCTCCCTTCCTCTCTCTCTAAAATCAATAAAGAAAAAAAAATTTTTTTTTTTAAAAAGAAGGAAGCCCAAACTTCATTGAAATTATTTTGGCCCTTAACAGTGTTAAGTTTTTCTAGTTCTAGAACAATTTGCTCAGTCCCTAATGGTGTGAGGCAAAGGAGAAGTTGCTGCACCCATGCTGGATCTAAAGCAGGATTCTTCTGCCACTTTTTCTTCCCCTTACTTGGCTGAGCCGTAGAGCTCCCAGGCTTTGGCGATCCCCATGGCCAGTCCCTTGCTGGGATTATTGGAGAGGATCTTGGCAGCTTCTTTGGTCTTACTCAGAACATTGAGAACATGTCTGTTGGAGGAGAGATGTCTGTTCAGTAATTGGATGGACCTGAAAGGCCTCCTCTGTCTGTGACTCACAGACACTTATAGTAACATCACTTTGAGTACATCCAGCTGTAGACCATCTGGAATTACAGCAACCTGGAGCATTACTGCCGGCTAGAAATAGATACTATTAGGGTCCAGCCCTCAGATAGGAAGCCTCTACATCCCTCTCTGCCTTAGATTCTGATCTCCTTTCAGTCCTTTAAACATGTGAGTTCTTTCTCACCTCAGGACCCTCGCAGATACTGTTTCCTTTGCCTGGAATACTAACTTGTATAATAAGGGGTAGGACTAGATGAACTGTGAGGTCCCTTCTCTACCTGAAATACCAAGACCTAATTACAAGTGTAAACTGTGCTACTTGTGGGGAAGGGGATGACATATGATCCAGGGCCCAGGAAGGCATAATCAGAGTTGGAGAATTGGAGATCCCTGTCCCCACCTGTGACTGTAGGCTCATCGGGCTTTCACCTACTGGTGTGCCCAGGGCTGCCCAAGGGACCCACCGGTGCACAGCTGGGGTCCGGGAGGCCAGGCCCCCAAAACTGGCAGAGATGGTGTTGATTTCAATCTGTTTCAGGGCTGGGGAGCCATCTGCGTTGCGCTGGAACATGTAGTCTGAACGATTCAGGCCCAGGAACACAGTCTGTGGGGAAAACTGAAGGCTGACGACATTTGCCCAGGGGCTGACTCTGAGGGCTAGCCACGGAGCAGACAGGTACCATAAACACTACATAAAAATTAGAGGTGCTGGCTAACACTCCCAAACACAGTGGAATCATTATTTTGGTCATCCCAGGACTGGCCAGTGATTATACATATCCAGTGGGAACCAATGAGAGGCAAATTCCCATGAGTTTAGGGCCTGGGCCAAATTCTCTGGTTAAAATAAAAGGGGGGAGGGGTGGTGGGGGAAAGGTGACATCCCAGACCAGAGTGGAGTAGGGAATGGTTACCTGGGCAATGCCCTCTTTCAGGACTTTCTTGTGGATGTCAAAGAGACGAGCAGTAAAGGTGTCCCTTTTGATGGTGCTGGAGAAGGAAACAGAACATTTTCTAGGTTACATGGAACCTTAAAGGTCAAGGAGTTCTACCCCTGTCCATTGATTCTTGAATTATCTCTGGATTCAATTGGCCCAAACCTGAACACCCACCAGAGAATAGTGGTTTAGAACGCAGCTTTAGAGCCAGACGACCTGGGTTCAAATCCCAGCTCTACCACTTATTAGTAGGCAACCTTAGAGAATGATTTTACCTCTCTGTGTTTGTTTTCTCAGCAGTAAAAAAAAGAGGAAAACAACTGTATTTATGTCACAGAGTTGTGGTGAAGAGTAAAGAAGATATTGTATGTACAGAACTGAACACAGTGTCTGGTCCCAAGAAGAACTCAAAAATAGCATGTGATGTAACCATTCTGTACTTAAGTAGCTCTGAAGGCTGTAAGCTTTCTGATTGACTTCCCACTCACTCTCTATGGTTTCCCCTACACTCTGGGGACCCCCAGAACAAGTCTTCTCTTCCTCTTCCACGGCAACCCACCGAGATTAGAAGCAACAGTTATGCCCTGTGCCCCAAAAGGAGTTTTCTGACTCAAGCTAAATATTCTATTTTTTCCATCAACCAGTCCTCATGTGTTGTGATTTCCTCAGGAAAGTCTTCCCTGTGTGGGTCAGGTCCTCCCGCTGCTTTTATAGCACCATGGACTGATTGCAGCTGCAATTTTCCATTTTATGTGTGTGATGATTAGCACTGTCTCTCCTACATGACTGCAAACCACAAAAGAGTAGAGACCATGTCTGTGCTGGCTCATCATGGCCCAGTGCTGTGACACATGGAAGGTAGGAGCCCATCCAGTATGTTTTTCAGGTAACTAATGCCACACTTGTCTCTCAGGATTCAGGGCGGTCTCTGCATGCCTGCTCAATACTGACTGGTAGGCTCACATTGTAACAGGGATCCCACGGAGCCCTAGTAGTTTAGGCCTGCCCTGAAGTTCCTCTGCTCCCCAGCCAGCTTTCTCAGAGGTTCTCCCAGCCCCTGGTGAGAAGTAGAGTCCCAGCTGGGCTTCGGCCTCCAGGAAAGTTGAGATACTTTTTCCTCTTCCAAAGAGGTGCTTCCATTCAATCCCAGACTCTAGGTGGCTAGTTTTACACACATGCTCCTGGGGCTCTTCTCCCTTACAAGCTAAGGATTGGGTGTATTTCACAGGAGAGGGGAACAGGGGTTGCAGAGACAGGCTGCAGAGAAGGTCTCCCACATAATTACATCTTTAGGTTAAAGGTCATAAATCAGACTGCTCATATTTCCCACAATCAGGAATAAGAAGTGCAGCCAGATCCATTCCAAGAAAGATAATGGTGGTAGGGTTTATACATTCATGATTCATTGTGTTTTTAGCTCCAAGTCCATGGTTTCCAAACTTCTTACCATTATGTTCCCTTGTCATATTCACCCTCACACCAATGTACACATTTTTAAAAGGTTGTATCTCTAACAAAATAACTGTTGTCTTTTGAAAAGTTAATCAGACATGCAATTACATATGTTTAGTCTTTCTCTATATATACATACACACACAAATTATATTTATACATATTTAATTCTAAAATAAAGAATGTGATTCTAAAGTAATTTCTCTTGCCCAAGGGCCTGAAGGGGGAAAAAAGATCAAGAGAAAAGAGACAGAAAGGGGTAGATGGGGTAAGGTATTTTAGGCATTCTGTATCCTCATTGCCCAGTCTGTGCCTCATCCCAAGATGAGAGGCCTTGAAGCAACAAGAAAGGTCACTGCTTAGGAGAAGAAGTAGGAAATCTGACTTTAAACCTAATAACCTTACTTGCCTTCTATTTTCTCTAAAACCAAACTTGCTTTCTCTAATTCCAAATGGAAATCCCAGTCTTTAAAGAAGGGGGTCATGGATCAGAGAATCACAGAATGTCAGTGTTGGAAGGGACCTTAGATTTAGGCCAACCTCCCCATTCTACAGATGAAGAAATTGAGGCCCAGAGAAAGAAAAGGACTTGCTTGAGGCCATATTTTTAAATAAATGGTACAGCCAGGATTGGAAATCAGCTCTCCTGACTTCTATTGTACTTTTTGTTTCTCCTAAAGGGTACTTGTCTCCCATTCCACCAAGTCAGATGCCAGAACAACGCCTCATGGCTCCCCAGTCTTCCAGTCCCTCAGTTCTAGCAATTCCCAGCCCCCCAATGTCCCACCACCCAGTACCTGGAGAGAGTTTGCTCCAGAAAGGCAGCATTCTGGCTGACAGCATCCACCAGCAGGTTGAAGTCCATCTGCACAGCATAGGCCTGCTCCAGCAGGGCACTGGGGACCAGTGAGGGGAAGAGCGTGAATGGGGCATAGCTCACCACCTGATGGAGAGAGAGTGGGCAGGGGTAGAACACCTGTGAATGGGCTGTCTTCCTGTAAACATAACCCCATGGAAAGTGTGGCCTACATTTATTGAGGACACACACACTGCAGAATAGTGGTTACCACTGGAAATGGAAAGAGAACAGGATGAGGAATGGGTACAAAGAGAACTGCTAGACTGTAACATCTTATCTCTTTACATTAAAAAAAAAAAGAATATCAAAAGCAAAATGGGCCCTGGCCAGTGTGGCTCAGCGGTAGAGTGTCAGCCCACCAACAGAAGGATCATGGTTTCAATCCCTGGTCAAGGTCACGTGCTTGGGTTGTAGGTTCAATTCCCAACCCTGGTTGTGCAGGAGGTAACCAATTGATGTGTCCTTCTCACATTGATGTTTCTCTCTCTCTCTCTCCCTCCCTCCCTTCCACTCTATCTAAAAATCAATGGGAAAATATCCTCGGGTAAGGATCAACAACAACAAAAGCAAAATGGCCCAAAACAAACAACAAAAATTACTGTACATTTACTGTGTGCAAGGCACTATTTTAAATACTTTACATGGATTCATCATTTAATCCTATGAGGAAGATACTATTATTATACATACTTAATAAATAGATAAGGGAACTGTATCTCAGGGAGGCCAAGTATTGAGTCCAAAATTATATAAAACTGTTAAGTGGCACTGGGATTTGAGCCAGGATGGTTATAAAACAAAACACACACACACAGAGCTTCTTGCCAGTTGATATCCAAGCCCAAAAGCCCAGGCCCCTCTCCATGCCAGGAGCTCACAACCCAGTCCCCATGTCTTCTGGTTGGGGAAAGGGGAGAGGGAAGAGTCCTACTGGTAAGGCTGCAGCAGAAACAACTCTGGCTCCAAGGGTGGTTCCCCCTCATTGTTAAAGATGATGACTCAGGTTGCCAGGCCTAGGGGTTCAGCTGCATTTTCAATTCTTTGAACTTTGGCAGAGCTGAGAAACCCAAACATCTAGAACACTGTTTCTAGAAGGGGATAATGCATTCTGAGATTCCTAATAAGAAATGAGCTAGAATTTGGGTAAGAGATGATAACATGACCTGGTACTTATTTATGAAACGTTCTTCAATTTAACCTCTGAGTTAATATCAGTTTGCCATTATGGTAGTATGAGTTTCTGTGTTAGAATTTGGTATTTAAATATTTATTTTAAAAATATTATTTTGAGTAGATAATACAAACACATGATACAAAATTCAAAAGAGACAGAAGGATACATAGTGAAAAGTATGTTTCACTACCATCCTGGCCCCAATGATCTCCAGTTCTCCTTCCCAGAGGCAAATGATACAGTGGGGTCTCACATATCCTTTTAGACTAATGTATATGTGTAGATACACTTTTTATTTTTTTACATACACCAAAACATATGATACGTATTGCTCTGTTTTTTGCTTTATAAATACTTTAGAGACATTTCCATATACATGCAAATAGAGCACTTTCATTCTTTTTAATGACTGTATAGTATTCCATTCTTTGAATATTCATTGAATCTAGCTTTCTATTATGAACATTTAGGTGGTTTCCTTTTTTCCACCATTACAATAATGCTTCGATGAATATCCTAGAATATACATGCTAGGTATTTTGTGTGTGAGAAAATAAGTTTCTAGCCCTGGCCAGTTTGGCTCAGTGGTTGGAGCGTTGGCCTGTGGACCAGAGAGTCCTGGGTTCGGTTCCTGCTAGGGGCACAAAAAAAAAAAAAGAAAAGAAGTTTCTAAAAGTGTAAATATCAAGTAATTAGGGTAAATCCACTTAAAATTTTGGTAGATAATTCCTAAATTGCCCTCCTCAGCATCTATTTTAAGATAAAACCGAGGAAGTATATTTGTGAGAGTATGGTCCTTTCAGCTTGAAGCTTTTATGAGTGTGAATTACTGAAGATTATGTAAGGGGTGACCTAATTCTCTGAGTGCATATGTGATGACTACAGGGACATTTCCTTAGCTTTATTTTATTTTTTTCGATAGAGTGGAAGGAAAGGAGGGAGGGAGGGAGAGAGAAAGAGAGAGAAATATCAGTGTGAGAAAGACACATCAATTGGTTGCCTCTCGCATGACCCTTGGAACCCTGGATTGAACCTGAAACCCAGATACACGCCCTTGATCAGGAATCAAACCCACGACCCTTCAGTCCGAGGCTGACACTCTAACTGCTGAGCCAAACTGGCCAGGGCTTCCTTGGCTTTAAAACTCAGAATTCTGTCTTGGCCGGTTTTGCTCAGTGGTTAGAGCGTCAGCCTGCAGCCCAAACAGACCCGGTTTGGTTCCCACTAGGGGCACATACCTCAGTTGCAGTTTGTCCCCGGCCCTGGTTGGGTCGTGGGGGTGGCACCTACCCGATGTGTCTCTTTCACGTCGATGTTTCTCTCACTCTCACTCCCACTCTATCTGAACAAAAAATGGAAAAATGTCCTCGGGTGAGGATAAAAAATAAATAAATAAAACTCAGAATTCTGCCTCTTCCAACAAATCCCATTTGGCCTGAAAAACTCCCAAAAAGTTTTTCTGCTAAGTCTTTCTTCTGCCTCTGTTCTCAGGACTCATTATGCCCACTTGAATTTGGGATCAATAGCACACAGCTATTCTCTGCTGTCCATAGGTTAAAGGCTGGAACACAGTTTTTGTACTTTTAAAAAATATATTTTTATTGATTTTTTTTAGAGATAGAGGAAGGGAGAGGGAAAGAGAAAGAGAAACATCGATATGAAAATGGAACATCGATTGGCTGCCTCCTGCACATCCCTTACTGGGGATCGAGCCTGCAACCCGGCATGTGCCCTGACTGGGAATCGAACCAGCAACTTTTTGGTGCATGGGATGATGCCCTGCTAACTAAGCCACACCAGCCAGGGCCAGTCTTTGTACTTTTGATAGAAACACAGACACAGAGTAATATTCCTCTACTATTAGAAAAACTGTAGCACATGTATGATGGTATACACTCTGCTTCATAGTCAGGAAAACAACGGAGAATGGTGGGTCCCATCCCATCTAAAGGGGGCTGTCAGAATTCTGCTCCAGCCAATTGTTGACACACAGGAAAGTGGGCCAGGTTTAACAGCTGATCTAATTTTTCAAGACAAGCTGGTTATCTAAAATTTTTTTTTAATTCCATGATTTTAAAAAATTTGGCTCTGACTTTTTAAAGGCACTCTGGTTAAAAAACAACACTGGTTAAATAATCTTTGCCTCTGGGGAGGGAAATAGTAGCTGGAGGAAGGCGACATTCTATATTGAATACCCTTTTGGATTTTGTACCCCATTCAAGTGTATTTTTAAAAAAATTAATTAGTCTGGCCAGTGTGGCTCAGTGGTTGAGCATCAACCCATGCACCAAGGGGTCGCTGGTTCAATTCCCAGTCAGGACATATGCCCACGTTGTGGGCCTGATCCCCAAAGGGGGCATGCAGGAGGCCGCCAATCGATGTTCTCTCTCATCGATGTTTCTATCTCTCTCTCCCTCTCATTTCCTCTCTGTAAAAATAAAAGGAAAAAAATTAAAATTAAAATTAAAAATAAATTAGCTCCCTAAACACTGCAGGAGCCAACTATTCAGTCTGCATATGATTGGTCTGTGGCCCTGATCTACAAAGTTCAGGCTCTTCTACCCAGAATCCAAAGCCTCTTGGCTGTCTGACTTTGGCCTGCCTTCTTTCCCCCTCTATCCACGTATAGGGCCTGCATCCAGCTGCATTCTCTTAAATACTTTTTGCCTTTTTCTGTTATGGGGCCTCTGTTATGTTGTTCCTTTCCCTAATTTGTCTTTTGACAACTATAGAAATGATCCCTGAAAGTATAGTGTTTCATTTGTTTTTAAGATCTAGTTCAAATACCACTAATGAATTGCTCCTTCCTCCAGGCATCCTCTACAGTATCCTGGGACAGGCAGTAAAGCATGGACGTTCAGAGCACGGACTCAGGAGGCAAATTCCTTGGGTTTGAATTCTGGCTCTGCCAATTACACCACCATTTGAATGACTTGGAGCAAGTTACTTAACCTCTCAGGCCTTGGTTTCCTCATCTCGGTTGCAGTGAGGATTAAATGAGTTTATGATTCCAAAGTGAAAAAGACACACTTCCTGTCTTTTTTCTCTGGATTGGGAAATTGAGGACTATGCCTTTTCTAGGTTCCATTAACTTCAGAAAGACCAAGTGTTGAACTTTCACACAATACCAGTTGATTAACAGAATAAAATCTTGGAAGAGAAAATGCTACATCCTGGGTTCAGACAAGCGGTTCATAGAACCTCAGGTTCACAAACCAAGCAATGATATTCCTAAAACCAGAGGTATACCTTCCACAGTATCAGCCTACATTTGGTGACAGCCATTCTCATTCACTTGGGCCTCAGCCAACACTTACTGAGTCTGAACTCTCCACCAGGCCCCTAACTAGGTTCTGGGCACAGAGACAAAAGTGTCTTGGTTAAAAAAAAAAAAAAAGGTGGTGGCATCTCTTTAATTACTAATCTGGATAGTCATAAGTATAATGTTTTTTTTTTTGGTTTGTTTGTTTTTATCCTCACCCGAGGACATTTTTCGATATTTTGTTCAAATAGAGTGAGAGGGAGAGAGAGAGAGAGAGAGAAACATCAACGTGAAAGCGACACATCGAGTGGTTGCCACCCACACGACCCAACCAGGGCTGGGGACAAACTGCAACCAAGGTACGTGCTCTTAGCGGGAACCGAACCCGGGTCTCTCTGGACCGCAGGCCGACGCTCTAACCGCTGAGCCAAACCGGCCAGGGCCATAAGTATAATGTTAAGTAAAAAAAAGTAAAGCCCAGCCCAGCCGGTGTGGCTCAGTGGCTGAGCATCGACCCATGCACCAAGAGGTTGCCAGTTTGATTCCTGGTCAGGGCACATGCCCAGGTTGTGGGCCAAATCCCTGGTGGGGGGCATGCAGGAGGCAGCCAACTGATGTTCTCTCTCATTGATTTTTCTCTCTCTCTCTCTCCCTCTCCTTTCCTCCCTCTCTAAAATCAATAAAGAAAAAAAATTTAATATAAACAAATAAAAAGAAATAGGTAAGAGAACAAAACACTGATCAACATAAGCAGAAAAATAAATACCTCTCCACCTCTCTCTCTGCAGATGCTCCAGAGCTCAGTGTTGGAGAAAAAAAAGTTTTTTTTAAAAGAAAGTCAAGCACAGCATAGCTTGTCTAGTATGCTTCATGCTTCTTTGTGTAAAAAGTGGGGAAAATGAATATATACATATTTTCACTTTATGAATAAGCTGAAAAATAAACTAGAATAAATGTTTTATTTATTTACTTTTAATCCTCGCCCGAGGATATTTTTCCATTTATCTTCAGACAGTGGGAGGGAGGGAGAGAGAGGGATAGGGAGAGAAAAACATCGATGTGAGAGAGACACATCGACTGGTTGCCTCCTGCAAGACCCCAACCAGGGCCAGCGGTGAGCAGCAACCGAGGTATGTGCCTTGACTGGAATCGAAGCCGGGACTCATTGGTCAGCAGGCCGATGCTCTAATCACTGAACCAAACCGGCCAAGGCATAAATGTTTTATTTATAAAACACAGGTTACCTTCAGGGCAAGAGTAATGGGTAGCTATGGAATGTGGAAGGGAGGGTTAAACTGTAAACTCTTATACCCTTTAAATTTGAAGCATGAAAATGTCTTACCTAGTCACAAAATGAAAAAGTTTTTTTTTTTTAAGAATGAGATTTTTTTTTAAAGATATTGTTTGGAGTCAGCAGTTTTATTTTTACTTATCAGCTGTAGAGAAACACTCATATAGGTGCCCAAACAGGCATGTACAGGGATGTTCCCTGTAGTGCTATTTGTAGTCATAAAACATTGGAAATCACCTAAATACCCATCAGTAGAAGAAAGTTAAAGTGTGATTCATCTACATCTGGATGAAGCCGATCTTAATGGAGGAAGTTGGAAAAAGTTCTAAGACAGATTGTCAAATGAAAAACAAACAAAACCATGTCACAGAACAATATGTATGATCCAACGTGTTCTTACAAAAACTATATGGTCCTGGCCAGTGTTGCTCAGTTGGTTGGTGTTGTCCTGTGAGTCAAGGAGTTGCTGGTTCAATTTCTGATCAGGGCACATACTCGGGTTATGGGCTCCCAATCCTCAGTGGCAGGAGGCAGCCAATCGATGTGTTTCTCTCTCTCCCTCTCCCTTACTCTCTCTATAAAAATCAATAAAAAAATCAGTGTGTGTGTGTATATACATATATATATTTTTTAAATACCCTGGCCAGTTTGGCTCAGCAGTTAGAACATCTGTCTCAGGAACAAAGTGTCTCGGGTTTGATTCCTGGTCAAGGGCACATACCTGGGTTGCAGGTTTGATCCCCGGCCCCAGTCGGGGTTGTGTGGGAGGCAACCAATCAATGTGTCTCCCTCACATTGATGTTTCTCCTTCTCTCTCTCTCCTTCCCTTCCACTCTAAAAAAAATTGATGGAGAAATATCCTCAGGTGAGGATTAACAACAACAACAACAATATACATATATGGGGACTGGGTGGAGGTGGGCAAAGGGAGGGGGAACGGGGGACATCTGCAATAGTGTCAACAATAAAAAAAAAATTTTTTTTTAAACTGTCTTAAGCCCTAGCCAGGAGTTAGAGCACTGGCCTACAGACCAAAGAGTCACAGGTTTGACTCCAGACTAGGGTACGTACCTCAGTTGTGGTTCAGTCCCTGGCCCTGGCAACCAATCAATGTATCTCTCACATTAATATTTCTCGCCGCCACCTCCCACCCTATCTGAAGATAAATGGAAAAATATCCTTGGGTGAGGATTTTTTTAAATTAAATTTAAAATAAAGCCCCACAAAACTATATAGCCCAGCCAGTGTGGCTCTGTGGATTGAGCATTATCCCATGAGAGAGGTCCCAGGTTTCGGGCTCAATCCCCAGTAGGGGGCGTGCAGGAGGCAGCCAATTAATGCATCTCTCTCATGAGTGTTTCTCTCTCTAAAAAATCAATAAAAACATATTTTTTAAAAAACTATATATTTTTAAAATACATATATATGTATATAGATGCACATAAAAAGACCTGAAAGGATGTACCACAAACCAATTACAGAGAAAGTAGTGCGATTAGGGGTTCCTAAAAAATAATAGCTCACTGGGGCAAGTGCTTCACATGAATTATATTCTAATTCTCTTACCAACTTGATGAGGTAGGTCCCATTATTATCCTTTTTTTATTTGAAGAAACTGCAGCTGAGAGAACTAAGTAACTTGCCTAAGTCACTTAGTCAAACCCCAGACTTAAATTTGATTATTCTAGCATGGTGCTTTTTACGTTACATACTTCCAGAGATCTATTTTAGTCATTAAAAAAAAAGAAAGAAAAGAAAGCAAAAATGTGATCGCTGACCCAAAGGAGATGCCTCCAGCCTGGCAGGGGCCAGATAATGGGCAGAAGGACCCAGAGCAGTGTGATCAGTGTTGTGGGGAGGGGCCAGGGCTTACATCTGAGGAGCAGGGCTCCTGTGAGGTCCTGAGCAACACTCCCTCAGCCAGGGCCCGGTCCACTGCCTGCTGTGCCAGCTCCTCCAGCTGCTGCTCATCCTGCAAAAGGCTTCCCCAGCTGTTGGCCATTTCAACCTGCAACCAAAGGAAAGGGGAGGGCTTGGTGACAGATAGCCAGGGGCCCACAACAACGGAAACTGGCAGTGTGGTACAAGGGAGCCAACGCTGGCTGGAAGCTTTTATCAGCTCCCATGAGCACAACACAGAAAGCTTGACAAAGCAGTTCCACTGCCATGCTCTCTTTTCATTCCTAGAATGATGGCATTATTCTCACAGTATGAAAGCAGAGATTTAGAAAGCTGAAATGACTTGCCCAAGGTAATGACCGGTAAAACCTAGACTTGAACACATATGTCATATGTGATTGGGGCAAGTTCCTAGACTTGAACCCAGGTCTCTGGACTCCCAGATCAATGCTTTTCATTGGAGAAAGAGGCACGAATGTCATATGTGATTATGGCAAGTTCCTTCCACTCCTGAGCTGCAGATTCTCTACCTGTGAAACAAGGAGGCTGGGGTAGACTAGTGGTTCCTAATCCTGGCTGAATATTCTGGGAGTGGGGGTGGGGAATTAGAAGATAATACAGATTCCTGGGCACCACTCAGAGATTCTGATTCAAGAAGTCTGAGGGGAGGGAGAGGATGAAACTATATTTTTAACAAGTTTTCCTTGGACAGGAACCACTGCAATAAATTATAATTTCCCTTATGGCCCCAACAACCCATATCAGCACATATCAAATAAATTATGTGGGGGGTGGGAAGGTGGGAAGGAGCCTTTTGTGAAATACTATGAAATGCAGATAAAGTGGATTCATTCATTTTGCAGCAGGCCCTAAGTATTTAAGATCTGGATAAAAATCTGGAAATACCAGTCATTAATTTTGTTCCATCCTATTGTCATTTTATTTTGTCATATTTTAAACATGTTTTATTGATTTTTTTAGAGAGGGGAAGGGAGAGAAAGAAACATCAATGTGAGACAGAAACATTGATGTCCCTTCCTGCACACCGCCCACTGGGGATCGAGCTTGTAACCCAGGCATGTGCCCTGACTGGAAATCAAATCAGGACCTCTCAATCCCATGGGATGATGCTCAATCTACTGAACCACACTTGCTGAGCTACTGTCATTTGATTTTTTTAAAAATCCTCACTCGAGGACATTTTTCCATTTTTTGTTCAGATAAGAGTGGGAGGGGGAGAAAGAGAGCAACATCGATGTGAAAGGGACACATCAAGTGGCCGCCACCCGCACGACCCAACCAGGGCCGGGGACAAACTGCAACCGAGGTATGTGCCCTTAGCGGGAACCGAACCTGGGTCTCTCTGGACTGCAGGCCGATGCTCTAACCGCTGAGCCAAACCGGCCAGGGCCTGTCATTTGATTTTAAGAACAGAACATGGCCCTGGCCGGTTTGGCTCAGCGGTTAGAGCGTCGCACTGCGGATGGGAGAGTCCTGGATTCGGTTCCCGCTAAGGGCATGTACCTTGGTTGCAGTTTGTCCCTGGCCCTGGTTGGGGTCATGTGGGTGGCAACCACTCGATGTGTCTCTCTCACATCGATGTTTCTCTCTCTCTTCCTCCCTCTCTCCCTTCCACTCTATCTGAAGATAAATGCAAAAATGTCCTCGGGTGAGGATAAAAAAATAAAAAATAAATAAGAACAGAACATGGCTGCCCAGTTCAGTGGTCTCCAGGAAGAGAGCTAAAGAATGACAAGTGTCCTGGCTGGTTTGGCTCAGCAGTTAGAGCGTCAGCCCGCGGACCAGCGAGTCGAAGGTTCGGTTCCCACTAGGGGCACGTGCCTTGGTTGCAGTTTGTTCCTGGCCCAGGTTGGGGTCATGTGGGTGGCAACCACTCAATGTGTCTCTCTCACATCAATGTTTCTCTCTCTCTTCCTCCCTCTCTCCCTCCTACTCTGTCTGAAGATAAATGCAAAGGTGTCCTCGGTTGAGGATAAAAAAAAAAGAATGACAAGTAACTAACACATTCTGCTTCATCCCTCTCTCCCCATCATAGCTAGATCAATCATGAAAGTTTGCCAGCCTCAGCACAATGCTTTGAAAGAATGAGCATGTGATTTCAGAGGATCCCGACAATTTCCCTGTTGGGTGAGAGATAAACAAGGGCAATCATAGTAAAGAACAAAGCTCTGAAGTTAGTCAGACTTGGGTTTGAGTCCACAATAATATTACTTTCTTTATAAATAAGGTTGCTGTGTGGATTAAATGAGAAAAATCTGTGTGCAGTTCCTTAGCAGCATTTGGTGCACTATACATGGGAGCTTCTTTTTTGGTTGTACCCACTTTACAAGAGGGAGACTTGTCAGAGGTCACACAGTAGCCTGGTGGCAGAGACTCAGACATTAGAGCAATGGAACCCTCCATTAGCCCCTCTCTCTCCAAAACTGGGATTCCAAGATCTCTGACTGCTGTTGGGCCTTTGTTCAGTTGGCAAACACTGACTGGCATCTAATGCCAGGCCTTTCACTAGGTACTGAAGACACAGAGCAAGATAAGACAAAAATAATCACTATGAAAAGTGCTAATTGGGCCCTTTGTTGTTCTCCCTCTATAGTCTCAACCTTTCTTACGGCTTTATTTCTGTTTTGCCAATGCCACTCAAATCTATACCTTTACAGTAGGACCTTGCTGACCTTCAAACTAGAATATCCAACTGCTTACTGGGAGTCTTCACAGAACCAGGGTAGAATTTGTTGTCTCCCCACAAAGCTGCTACTCCTCTGATGAACCTCACCCAGGCACCCAAGCCTTGTATATACTTCTCCTATGCCTCATTCTCCCCAAATCCTGTGGAGTCTATTTAAATATATAGTTCTTTGAATTCCTTGCTTTCTCTCCATCTCCATTGTTAGGAGCCTATACTAAACAGAAAACCCTGGGCATTAATCGGATGCAGTGACCAGGACACACCAGCCTCTCTCCCACTTCCAGGTCTTGGCAGGTGCTGTTGTCTCTCTTTGGAACACTCCTCATCACTCCTAATCAGGTTCATGACCTCCTTTCAGAAACCATCCCTGTTCTTCTCCACCCAGGGCTTCTACAGCTCATCACATTTCCCTGCACCGCGTGTCTTGATCACTTCTCTACCTCCGGCACCTACCACTGTATTCAGTGAATGTTAAATGAATGGATGATGAATAAAAGGCCATAGTACCAAAAGCCTTAAAACGCCCACATGGAAATCCGGTTGGACTTCGTCCCAAAGGCGAGGCCAGTGCCTGTGTGGGGCCCGGAGCAACAACACAGCCTCCTGCCCAGGCATGCCCCATTTCACGGGCTTGTTCGCGCTTACCCTGGTCAAGTTTGGTCCTAATCGCTCCCACTTAAAACAAAACAAAACAAAACAAAACAAAAACCTCGCGATCTAGTCTCACAGGCACCATGTTCCCGACAGCCACTCCATCTGAAGTCAGGAGATCTAGGAAATCTGTGATCGACACGCACCAGCCCAACCCCCTCACTGGACACCAGTTTCCCCATTCCTGTCACTGAGTCTGATGTGCAAGATCTCTGGACTTCAGGGTTCCAATCGCCCGCCAGCGCCCTCCCTCGCATCCTTCCTCCGGAGGAAACGTGACCCTTGCCGGCCGCCGTTGCCGCTCCCCAACCTACTTGCTCGCGGTCCGCTGCGCACCCTACTCAGGCCCCTCGCGCCGTTACCCGAGGTTCAGGGGGCGGGGTCTCATGAGACCCAATGCGCTTGCGCGGACCTCCCCGGCGGGGCCTAAAGAGCAAGGCGGGGGAGGAGACCGGTGCTTGGGGAGCTGAACGGCGGCCGGGAAGGGGCTGTTCGTATGAGGGCAGCCTGGGCATTAGGGGTGCGTCGGCTAGACCCAGGCGGACAAGACTTTGGAAGGAGGGGAGGAGTCAGGCTGGGTCGGCGGGGCGCTGTGGGTTTGCCTATCTTGTAGGGCGTCACAGCTGGTGATGTCCAATGTAAGATGCGGAAACTGATGCCCAGATGGGGCAGCCATTACCTTGGGGACTCCCAGCTGGCGGGGGTAGGTGTGGTAATAGACGCTCAGAGACCGGCTCGGGGTCCCATGGCACGTTAGGGTTGAGCCAGTGTTGGAACCCAGGCTTGTTTTCCACCCAGCCGGTCCCAGAAAAGCCCACTTGATATCTCTAAACCCGGGACAGCTGCAGGAAAAGCATTAGCGCAAAAGGAAAGCATTTTCACCTTTCCAGCAATTTTAAAGTTAGGAACAGTTGAGGGTGATTCAGTATTTCTCAAAATGTCCAATATCACTTGCATCAAGATCTAGGGCAGGTTTTCTTTTCTTTTTTTTTTTTTTTAAATGCAGATTCTTTATACCTACCTTGCTCCTCACTCCTGTTCCTTCTTTCTGGGTTGTGATAGGTGCTTCAGATTGAGAAGAATCCTGATAGGAATTTTAGTTAAACTGAACTTCAGTCTGGGGTCTGGAGAATTAACCATGAATAAGACACAGCCCCTGCTTTCACATCTGATTAAGAAGGTAGACTTGTAAACTGCTTTTCTGGGGTATCAGGGAGGGCTTTGGGGGTCTTGGATGGGTAGAAGTGTGTAGGCAGTTAAGGAAGTACTGGCAGAGGTGAGAGGCAGGAATAGGGACAGTATTCCAAGTAGCACCAACAGAAAGAGCAAAGGCAAATAATTCTGCGTGTGGCTAAACTTGTTTTAGAGACAATTAGGAGTTTGGTGTGGATAATGAGAGGGGCCTGGGAGTTGAAGCAGACTGTTAGGAAGGAACTCAGTCTTGGAGAGGGAGCCTGGGATGCCAGGTTAAGGAGTTTGGCATCCAGTGAGCACTGGGGAGCTGTCTTAAGAGCTCCCCCCCCCCCCCCCCCGGCAAAATTCCTTTATTTGCTGTTCATTTATAACCTGGTTTCATTGTTTTTAAAAAAAAATTTTTTTTAAGTTTATTTTTGTTACAGATGTTTCTCCTTTTCCCCTCATTGATTTCCCCCCTCCCTCCCCACCCTGTCCCCAGCTTTGTTGTCCATGACCTTTGTTCATGCATACATGCATATAAGTTCTGTGGTTTATCTCTCCCCCACCACCCCCTGTTCTGGGGATTGTCAGTTGTCTTAAGAATTTTAAGCAGAGGAGGTCTGTTTTGTGTGTTTGGTACTGGTTACAGTGTGGCAAATGGTTTGGAAGTGGGGAGACTTAAGGCCGAGAGAGAGCTCTCAGGAAGTTGTAAAATAATGAGGCAGTGGCTGAGGAGATGGAGAGAAGGGAACAGATTAAAGAGATATTTAGGAGACTGGGACTGATTATAAATCAGTAGTCCAACCCAGGGGCCAGGATGCTTCCAACTTCTTAAAGCATTTACATTATCTGTCTACAGGACAGACTGATCCCTCCAATCTTGTTAGTGGGGTGGGAAGGGATTTGTAGTCTGGTTATTACCACAACAGTGTTTCCATGATGTCCTTCCTTTATCTCCTTTCATACCTGAGTATGAATATGAAGCAGCAGTTAGTATAATAGGCCCCGGTGACAGGAAAAGCCTACTGTGTTAACCAGGAACAAAGAAAGCTATTTCTAGTGTAGCGTGAAATGAAAAAATCAGAAATCATGACCCAGGCTTTCCTATGCAGGTTCCCTTCCAAGATGGGTGTCAAATGATATATCAGGTGTTTATTGGTGATATGTGGGGAGGATTCCAGACCTTAACAGCCTTTTGGTTGAGTCCCCTCACATTGTGGCAGGTAAGGTGTTTTTATCCCCATTTTGTAGATGTGGCAGCTCAGCCTCAGAAGTTATGTGACTTGTCCATAGGCACCCAGTTTGTGGAGGGACAGGGAGTGCAGGCCTCTTGGCCAAGGGTCTTCCCAGCGAGGCTTTGCCCTTCCTGCTCCCTCTGCCTAGATGCTCTGCCTCTAAATCTTGCCATGACTGACTGGCTCCTACTTGTTATTCACATATTTTCTCTTCAGATGTCATCCCCACCCCATCAGTCTGCATCACATTATCCTATGTATTTTTTAATAGCACCTATTAGTGTCTGAAATTATTAATTTTATATATGTGGTATTTCCCTGCATTAGAATGTGAGCTCCATGAAAATAGACAATATCTGTTTCATTCACTACTTTACACCCAACACCTGGAATGATGCCTGCCTCATAGTAGATGCTTAACATTTTCTGAATGATGGAAATAAGCTGGGGAGGAAGGAAGGGAGGGAAACCAACATTAGATGAAAGCTTAGGATGGTTCAGGTACTTCTCATAAACTCCCTCATTTTTTTTTTTTTTATCAATGACATTTTTCCATTTTTGTTCAGATAGAGTGGGAGGGAGAGAGAGGAAGAGAGAGAGAGAAACATCGATGTGAAAGGGACACATCGAGTGGCTGCCACCCACACAACCAACAAGGGCCGGGGACAAACTGCAACCGAGGCACATGCCCTTAGTGGGAACCGAACCCTGGTCTCTCTGGACCGCAGGCGGACGCTCTAACCACTGAGCCAAACCAGCCAGGGCTAAACTCCCTCATTTAATCTCACAGCCATTTTGTTGTAGACCAACAAGACAGACCAGACTTAGACTCCAAACTGGGTTCAAATTAAGAGAGCTTTATTAGCCATGCGGTGACTGTCACATCCTACGCAGAGGAGAGAGCAGCCTCCAGCTCAGGAGGAGGGTTGCTTATATAGTTGTCTTAGCCCCTGTTAAGGAATTTGGGCTAAAGGTTTGTGAGCAAGCAAGCACGTACAGAAGCAGATATCTGCTGTTAGCCGTTATGCCTGAGGGAGCAAGCAGTTTCGGTTTGCACAATGCAGTGGTTATCTATACAATATAATGGTTATCTATTAACTCTGGCTGCTAGTTCTTGCTATTCTCTTAAAGTCTAGGGGGTAAGGTCTGCCTAATGGGAAAAATTTTTACTGTACGTTCACATAGCATGTGTTTGTCCTTTACATTTCAAGGTAGGTTCAGAAGGTCCTCAAATAACTTCACTTTGTTCAACATTGTTTCATTAGAATTGTAGGAACTTATCTCCTGTTTAATAAGCCTATGATAAAATTGGTTTTGCTCTCTGTCATTTTGCTTAAAGTCACACAACCTGTCGACAACATTGAGGACTTATTGTACTGCATCTCCATAGGGTAGATGAGAAGATATACTAAGTTAGGTCAAGTCGGTGATTTGTTAGTTTTGTGGCCATAGACTCCTTTAAGAATCTCCATTAAACACACACTTTTTGCATACCATGTAGAGGTATTCACAGACCACCTAGGGCCCACTCAGGGATTCTAGGTCAAGGAACCCAGAATTAGAGATTTTGCTGCTTTCAAAGCCTGGACCTCCTGAATGGGGCATCTCTGCCATCCCAGGAGCTGCATTGCATGTGGTCTGCCTTGTGCACGTGGCTGCTGTCTCTTTTTAGCGATGACGTCACCTTGTCTGGTATTGTTGCTTATAAGGCTGTCTCTCCACTTGGCTGGGGCGGGGGGCACTGCTAGGCCATTCTGAGTGGAATTCCTCTGTCTTCCAGCCCCTAGTGCATGTCTGGGCCAGCAGTGCTGCTCCGGAAATGCCTGTGGAATCAAAGCGAGGCCTTTCCCAAGTGTTGAGGATTTGCTGTGTGCCAGGCCTATCCCAGACACTTTATATGTGTTATCTCATTTACACCCCCACAGTAATCCTGGCAGGGAGAAGTTACTGGCCCTGTGTTACTGAGAAGAAACAGAGACTCAGCTGGGCTTTGCCTTAGGCCCACTTGCAATGATTGATGGCACCTGGACTGATTCCAGGGCCTGTGTTCTCATCGTGCATAAACTGTTAAAGCTGTGGGCTGATAAAGGGGAGACATAGTCCTCAGCCCCTAGGATCCTCAGAGACTTTCTACTAACAGGCTTCTAGTCCAGCTCTCATTTCATCCATGAGGAAATAAGCCCAGGAAGGAGAGAAGACTGACTTACAGTCCCTCTTATACTTATCCACTTATTTTGGGGCAGGATGGGATCCGATTTTATCACCATTATACCACCCAGGTAGCCCAGTGCCTGGTCTAGGTAAGCACTCAGTAAATACTTAAAAAAAAAATTTTTTTTAATCCTCACCTAAGGGTATGGTTTTATTAATTTTATTTCATTTCATTTTATTATTTAAAAGAAAGATCTCTCTTTTTTTTTTTTTTTCTTTTTCCTTGATTGATTTTATGGAGAGAGGAAATGAGGGAGAGAGAGATAGAAACATCAATTAGAACATAAGTTGGCTGCCTCCTGCCTGCCTGCCCACTGGGGATCAGACCCACAACCTGGGCATGTGTCCTGACCGGGAATCGAACCAGCGACCTCTTGGTGCATGGGTCGACACTTCACCACTGAGCCACACCGGCTGGGCAGTTTTACTGGTTTTAGAGAGGAACGGGGAGAGAGAGAAAGAAACATTGATCAGTTTGCCTTCCATACATGTCCCAACCAGGGATCAAACCCACAACCAGGTATGTGCCTTGATCAGGAATCGAACCTGCAACCTTTTGATGTACAGGACAATACTCCATCCAACTGAGCCACCTGGCCAGGGCAATATTTTTAAATTTTATTTATTTTGAAAACATTGAGAAAGGTATGAAGATTAGTATAACAAACACCCTTATACTCACCATCCATCTTGTGAAATAAATCATTGATAATTAAGCTGAAGGTCCTCCACAACTGTACTCTCCCATATAA